AGGCTCTTTCCTCCCTATCCAAGCACCATTACCTCCCACAGCTACTCAGGCTCTGCAGAGCCCTGCCAACAGTTCCCAGCAATGGAACATAAGCAGAGTTTGAGGTTCGGAGCACCCAGGGGCAATCAAATTAGTCCCAATGTCCCCATTTCCAGTTTTCACCATCTGAATAAATAAACCGCCTTTCACATCACAGATCCAGAAAAGCTGTGATTTAAATGGCACTGTAATTTGGCAACCCATTGGATTAGACTCTCAACTTATTTTCATTTACATTAAATTTATAGATATAAAAAATAAGCTCTTTGAGGGCAATCACAGTCCTCTGACTACACTGTGAAAAGGGAATGTAAAATTTTGAATTATATGATTTCTGTAAATTCTCCAGTGCTTTTGGAACAAGTCAGCCCATCTCACATTCCTTGTGTTTCCAATCCCTGCCATGGTGACCAGGGTCCACTTGGCCGACCAAAGACTTACCCATAAAATAGACTGTTCATTTCAAAGACCAAAAGCAAAAGTTAAGTCAGTAGTTTTTACACTGCATGCCAGGTACCACCGATGCCCACAACAGAGACATATGGCAAAAGGCACCACAGGAAGGTCATTTTGAAGATGCAGCCACATCTGAAAGTGGGCAACCAAACCTAGAACAGATACCAAGATGAACATCTTTTCTTGTCCAAACTGAGCCAACCTGCGCACTTCCCTACCCAAAACTGATCAGAGAGCAAGACCACACAGCTCATCCCTGGGCCCACCCACAGACAAATCCTCTGAACAGCCCCAGCCCCGGGAAGATATGCAGTGCTGGTCACCAGACTTCTGCTCCAGCCAGCATCCCCTGTGGCTGGTTGTAGGGGTCTTGGGCAACTGCCCTAGCAGTAGGCAGCCCACAGAAGTGTGGGCTTTGGGCTCAGAGCATGACACAGGTTAGTGGCGTTGGTGGCCATGGGTATGACACAGAAGTTAGGCTGGTGATTCTGCCTCATCTCAGGCCAGTGACCATGAATGAGGTGTCTGGATCTGCTCTGCCCAAGGAGAAACTTGCAAGGAAGGATTGCCCTCGTAGGCACTCACCTGGTTCATTCAGAAGAGCACACCAACTGTGGCTTTGGGACCGATCTGGGCTGAGCTCACTCTCTAGTACTGAAACAGTGATGACCTGAACTCCCGACAAACTCCAAACCAGCAGCAGACTCCAGGCAAGTTTTGCCTGAGTGTCACCCTGGGCTGATAAGGGAAATGACCACAGGTTCAAAGAAAACAAGCAGCCTGCGTAGAAGACCTGGGAAGGCAGGCACAGACAAAGCCAGATCAGAAAGATTGAATAAACCCTTTAATGCCCGGATGACATCACGTACCCACAAGGACCAGGAGCTTGCAGGAAGCCCTGTCCTCACCTACAGCCAATACAATGCCATAAACAAATCAGATAGTAATCAGTATGAGAAAACCCTCAGAGATGGAGAATTTAAAAGAATTTTTTAAAGGAAACTCAACGAGATTGAAGAAAAGAGAAAAAATAATTCAATATTCTAACAGGTAAATTTAACAAACAGATGGAAGTAACTTACAAAAAACCAAACAGAAATCATTGACCTGAAAATTCACTAAGCAAAATGTAAAGCACAACAGAAGGCATCAATGGTGGGAGAGATCAAACAGAAAAAATAATTCATAGCCTTGAAGACAGGTTGTTTCAAAGTACACAACTGGAGAACCAACAAAAGGGATAGAAAGCTTATTCAAAGAAATAACAACACAAAACACCTTAAACCTAGGGAAGGATACAATTATCCAGGTATAGAGGGGTCAAAGGTCATCAGTCAAACTGAACTCCACCAAGTCCAAACTAAGACATCTGTGTTCATGATCTTTCCATACCTGAGAAAATCAGCTTACAGGAGAAATTATTTATTTTGGCTCATGGTTTCAAGGGTTTCAGTGCATGGTTGGCTGGCTCCATTGCTACTGCCTATGGTGAGTCAGAAAATCATAGCGGCAGAGAGAAAGACAGAGAGAGAAGCGGGGAGAAAGGGGGTGGGGGAGAAATATCCCCTTCAGAAGCATGTGCCCGATGACCTACTTCTTCCAACCAGATTCTCTCCTAAAGTTTCTAACACCTCCCAATAATGCCACCAGCTGGGAACCAAGCCTTAAGCACATGAGCCTTTGGAGGCATTCCAGACCCAAAGTATAATAACTTATTATGAAGCTCTCAAAGGCCAGAAATAAAGAGAGGCTCTCAAGGCAGAAAAAGAAACAAAAGAACACACAAAGTTACCCCAGTTCTCCTAACAGCTGACTTCTCTACAGCAACCTTACAGGCAGGAGAAAGGAGCATGAGTCTTTCACAACACTGAGTAAGGAAAGTACCATCCAAAGTGCTGTACTCAGGAAAGCTATCTTTTAGCAAAGAAGAAGAGAGGAAGACATCCCCAGATAATCACAAACCAAGAGACCAAGCCAGGCTTACAAGAAATGCTAAAGAGATATCTTCAAACTGGGCAAGACACTGAGTAAGCAGAAAGAATGAGCAGGTATAGACTCGCGGGTTAGAATAATTACACGGACACAGAGAACCTCTGCACACTGTTGCTGGGAACGAGAATCAGTACAGCCGCGGTGGAAGACAGTATGGAGGTTCCTCAAAAAATTAAAAACAGAACCACCACCTGACTCAGCAACCCCACTGCTGGGTAGATGCCCAAAGAAACGCGGTAAGTGGCAGAGACATTCCACAGGCACTGGGGTGCTACTTTCAACAGCCAGAAAATGGAAACCCCGGGCGGTCACCAGCTGACGTACAAAGAAAACGGGGAGCACATAGGCAGCGGGTTATCATTCAGCCATTTGGGTGACGTGGGGGAGGGCTCAACCTGTACCAAGTGACAGTTAGATAAGAGCCAGCGCCCTGGCCTGCTCTTGTACAGCGAGGTCACCACAGATGACAACGTACCATGTATTTCAAAGGGCTGGAAGAAAGGATTTTGAAAGCTTTTAACCATAAAAATTGCAACTCTTGGAGTAGCTCGATGCCGTAATCCTATTTAAACATTACACAGTGGATCCACACAATTTTACATCTTTATGTAGCAGTTAAAATTAATTTAACACGTTTTTAAGAAGAAAAGAAAGGCAGATTGCCGCATGCGGTGCATGCAAAACAAAACCAAGCGAAGTGGTGGAGCCACTAGAGGGCACCCCGAAGGCGGGGCCTGCCAGTCCTCCCTTCCGAGGAGGGAGCAGTGGGACAGCCGTCCCCAGGGGGTCCCAACACGGCAGCGTGGAGTCACCTCCACTGTGGGTACGAGGGGCTCTCCGTAGAGCTGAAGCTTGGGGCTGCGAAACAGCTACCGCTAAGTCTTCCAAACTACCCGAGAGCCAAATGTGACGCCACAAGGTCATGAAGGGGCTGCTTCCGGTAGGACAGGGGCTTTCCCTTCCTAGGGAAGGAAACACACAGGACCGAAGCATAAAAACGATTTCATCCTTATACCTCAAGGTCCTCAGACATCTCAATCAAAAGCTTATATTAACCACAGAAATTACATTCTATTTTTAACCTCTGAGGCCTTGTCCTTGGCAACATACACCACTTGAAGAGCCTTTATTAGGAATGTCTTGGAATGAAAGTGATAACCTTTTGTAGCAAGCAATTATTCTTTCAGCCTCTGCCACACAGATCATCTCATTAGACTTCCTGAGAAGATACAGAAGCTCTGGAAAGCACGGACAGCGCCGTCCCGAGTACTAACAAACTGAGAAGGAAAACACAAGGTAGTTCAGGGGGGCAATGGTGACTTACAACAAAAGTAGGCAAGTGTCGTCAGACACAAAACTAAACCCTGCTTATTTGGAAATGAGGAAAAGAAGTATTCTTTCGTTTATTGGTTGATTTTTAATTCAGCACTTTTATAGGACGAAAAATATGCCCTCGTTACTAGTTCTAGGATGGCTGCCCTTTGTAGGCATTGAAATACCTATAAAATTCCTCAGCAGTGTGGCATCTTAAAAAGCTATTTTGAACACATATTAAAAAAAGAATTTTTAAAAGAATGATACTAACTAGAATACCTTTTATTTTTGAGATGAAAGGAGATTCTATTTAACCCATTTCAAATGAAACTATGTGCATGTTATAAGGTGGTAAGGTAACTGTATGCATGGAAGGCTGAATTCATAAATTGATTAGAGATGATTCACGGCTACAAAATGACTAACAAACAGTTCCTTTATACATGGCATGATTTCCAGAGATTAATTTTATAAAAGTTTGTTTCAAACAGATTTGTTTCAAGCATTAGTACATAAAACGAGGTCCTCCCACTGAAGAAAATAACCCTATGTCTAGCTTTCTGAATATTTTCCCGTCAAATCAATAAAGTACCAGTAGTTGATATTATATTTACAACTTTCAAGTTTTAAATAATAAATAAGCATATTTCTACTTCAAATCTTAAACGTTTTAAGATACTCATCCTATCTTACAGTACTGTATTTGATCAAAATGTCAATGCAGGAGTTTGCATTGAAGATAGAATAAGTTGTTCCCTTCTTAATCTTAGATAGCTCAAACTGTGCTCCAGAGGTGGTAAACAAATGCGTTCTGAATGGGACAAAAGCATACTGTTCTCAAGAGTTTTGTGTTTTCATTAAATTCTTTCTTAGCTAAAAGATCAGCCTCCCTCCACAGGACCTGCGTGGTTTTGTTTCCTCAGTGTGTTGTGTTCGCCTTTACTGGCCTCCCTGCGATTCAGCCCCACTCCCACTCTCTCTGCACTTTGTTTTGGGGGTCCCTCCCAGAGCAGGCTGCATGGGAACCACAGGCTTTAAAGGATAGCTCAGAGGGCTGTGAGGACAAAGTATCCACTTTGCTTTTCCTGCCTTTGCTCCAGGAATCGTACAATCATGGCTGCGAGGAGCCCACCTGCCCACGGCTTGCTGGAAGCCAAGGTTGGGTCACTTCCCCGGTGACGTGCACAGGGGCTGCTCACCTGCAGGACGCTCTTCATCAGGTCCCTCCACGTCTTGTCCACCGCCGTGAAGCGCCGGCCCTCCTCGGGCATCTGCGACATGATGTCAGGGGAGCTGAAGATGGGCTCCAGGTACAGCCAGGTGGCCTGCACCTTGAGCCACTCGTCCAGGATCTCCTGCAGCAGCAGCAGCCGGCCCTCCCACTCCCTGCGGGGACACAGGGCTGGGGTCAGCGGCAGAGCCCCTGCAGGGAACGCAGCCCACCTGTGCCTGCTGGCTACCACAGTCTCCACCGCCTGCCCTCCCAGGAATCACCGTCGGCTCAACAAGTCTGCTTCTAGAATCACGACACCAGCACACACAGGCTTGCACACATGCGCGCACACGTGAGGACACAGCTGGCTGCACAGGGCGGCTCTGCGTGTTCATCAGCACCATGCACCTTCCTGCCACCCAGCTCCACTCCCAGGAGTTACGAATTCTGAGGAGAGCTTCTGGGGACGATCCCAGTGACTGGTTTTCCAAACTTCCCGGGAAATGTAATCCAACCCAGACTCATTCATTTCCCCTAACATTCTTTTTCTTCCCTATTAAATTTGGGCACATAAGCTTTATTTTCAGGACAAAATATTTCAACTTATAGGATGTAATGTGTTCCTAAATATATTAGCATGGCATTCATGAGAAGGAAGCATATTTAACAGTCCAGTAGGTTATGAGATCATTTCTGAACACAGAGTACAGATGACTTAATTTGTTTATGAATAAACATCATAATTACTCATAAGCTAATTATTTCACAAGCACAGTTCCTAGGCCTCCATTCATATCTTCTCCATGCTGATGACAACCCTGAGGGAGGCTCCATTACCATCCCTACTCTCGGATGGGGAGACCGAGGCACAGAGAGGTGAACGCCTGGCTCAGGTTCACCCAGCTGATACAGGAGATTGAACCCAGACAGCCGAGTCACAGGTTCTCAGAGACAGGACAGCCTTGTGGACAAGAAGGTCGTCAGAGCAGGACCGCTGTATTTGCATAATAGCCCATGACTCATAAGTGGTGATCTGATGTGAGACCATTAAAAGCAAAAAAAAAGTAAATAGTTCTCCAAGTTCCCAAGCACCCTCAAATGCCTTTTAATACGGCTTTTCTTTCAGTGTTTGCCAATGGATTCATTAGGCTTTTTGTGCACAATAAGACATGAGCACCTCTGCTTTCTGCCAGGGCTTTTGTTTCTCTAAACCCTGTCTGATGCAGCAAATTCCCCCACTATGCACAGTCCCTTAAAAAAAAAAGTACAGAAAGGACAAGGGGAGTTAGCTCAGTGGTTTCACCACCTGCCTCGCAAATGCAAGGTCCCGAGTTTGATCCCCAATACCAAAGGAAAAAAATTACAGAAAGAAAAACCACTTGAGCCATTTTCTGCTGATGTGCACGCTATCACAGTCAGGCAGGAGGCAGGATGACCGGACACAGAGCACGGCCGGGTGCCCTGGGCATCAGTGCTGGTTCTGCGTGGCCTCAGCGAACACCGGAGGTGGACACAGCCACGCAGTGAGCTCTCCCCACCCCTGCAAACTCACTGAGGAGGCACGGTTGCCTGGTTTGGACATCTGCTTTTTGAGGTAAAATAGAAACCGTCTGCCACAAAAACAGAAAACTTTGACAGATAGGGTATAAATTGAATATAAATGTCCGATTTAAAGTGCAGGTTAAAATGACAGTTTCATTCCCTTGCGCTGCCACCCTCCATGCATGTGAGGAAAGATTACAGCAAATACTCAGGGAATGTCTCTGGCGGCCACTACATGAAAAATGACAATTCTAGCTCTAGTTTTAGAATTTCTATCTTCTTTAACCTATATTCACAGACATAAAATTATTTTTGAGAATCAAAAAATGAAAGCAGATCCGAGTAATAAGGACTGTGTGGGTGCTGGCTGTCCCTGCCGTGGTATGAGGGAGCGTAGGATGTGTGCTCTCTGGAAAGCAGTGACGGTCACCTTTTCCGACAAGGAACTGCCTTCAAACTCTAGGCGTGGGGTGCAGAATCGCTTCTCAGACGAATTCCACTCTCGGTCACCTGCAGCGCGGCAACTAGAAGAACTAGCACATCACCTCACCTTATTTGTTTCTCGTAAGGCTTAATGAAAGGGGACCCCCGCATCGTCTGGGTTTTGATGATGTGGTCGTCCAGCAGCATCTGAATCTCATCAACTGCAGACAGAATGTACGTCCTGCTCTCTCTGTACGGAAGAATGGCAAACTCCATGGAGTTCCATTCCGCCATCATCTTCTCCAGGGCCTTCTCCAGGGAGTATTCTTTGCTGGCTGACTCGCTGATGCCCTCAAACTTATCGAGATATGGCTCGAGGTTCAGGTCTATGAAGGAGAAGACCGTAGAGTCGTCGGCTGGCTGCAGCGGGTAGCCAACGATGGCAGACATGGCTTCCCAGTGCCTGGGCCGCAGGCCAGGATTGCAGATGACCTGCACCAGGGGCAGGTACTGCTTGAAGTCTTCCACCTTGGCTCGGACTTTCTTGGTCATGGCCAAGGCATTCGGAGAGTCCAGGAAGGTCTTCTCCAGCTTGTAGAGTCCTCTCCAGTAATTCCCCACATCTGCCTCTACTTGGTCTGGGCTCACCTTGTGATAGGGCCCTTCTGTCCACACTTTGTACTTGTTGCTGAATTCAACAGTGGTTTCATAGAGGCGGAGATACGGGTTCAAGCCATCCTGGATCTTTTTACGCTGAGGATATATTGATGGCAGCCAACCAAAGGCCTCCTCCTCCGCATTGAATTGCTGTATCTGAAAAGGCAGGCATTAAATGTACTGTTTTGAGTTTGAAACTGAAATTTAAGTTGCAAGAATATCTATCTCAATGTGAATCGGAAAAGCCTCAGGAAGCCCTAAAATTAAAGTTTAACAAATCTAGAAAAATCAAGCAGTAATGTTTCCTGGTTTTTTTTTTTTTAATTGACAAAAATTCTATACATTTATAGTGTTCTGAAATAAGCATACATTCTGGAACGGGGACACCACGCTAATGCCATATGCATTACCTCGCACATGTTTCTTGCAGTTCCAGTTGCCTGGAACCCCGCTAAGCATTGTGCAACTACACACTGTGCTGGTACTGACTGCATTCAGCATGTTGTACAATGAATCTCTTAGACCAGCAGTGGTGCCACACTTCACACACGTAATTCTTTCCTCAATTCTGGCCTCAAACTGAAATGTACGAGAACCAAATCAAATTCAATGGTTAGGTTCCATGCTGACCTTATGGGGAAATTTGATTTGATTCCCGTCCAATCCACTTTGTGAATAGAATGTCTGAAATAATTAAGTTTGTGAATCGAGGCACCACCGTTCTGCTCCTAATTAACAGAAATTTCTCATCCTTGGACCAACAGCCTCCACTCCCTGACACCCTTCTGGCCTCCCAGAGCCACCATGCTACTCTCTCCTCCAAGGGCTTTGACGCTTTTAGATCCTGTGTGTGACCAAGAGCAGGTCAAACTTGCCTTTCTGAGCCGGGCTTATTTCACCGAACACAACTTCCAGTTTTATCCATACTGTCACGATGACTGAATATACTTCTTTTTTTAAAAAAAGCTGAATTTTCTCCTATTTCTTTTCTTTTCTTTCTTTTTTTTTTTCCTGGTACTAGGCATCGAACTTGGGTTCTTGAGCTTGTGAGGCAGGCAGCGGCACCGCTGAGCTAAATCCCTGGCCCCCATTTCTTTTTTTATTACAATTGTTGCCAAACAATGTTTGGTTGCATTCATTAAAACAATCGAAGACATTTATATTTATAGGGAAGTTTTTGCCCACCAACATATAGTGAGAATCTAGCTTCATTCATTAAGGGGATCTGAGTACTTTGAAGATACACAGTATGTTGTTAGACACTGTGGAAAATAGAAAAAGAGTTATACTGGAAAGTCCAGTTCCTAAGAGTAGGCAATCGATCTCAGGGGCAGGGTACAGAGGAGGTGCAGATTTCAGTAGCAGTTATTTGTTCAGTGACCTAAAGCTAACAGCAGCAGTAACTGGTTAATATAAAACGAACGTGTGCATAGGTGTGTGTGTGTGTGTGTACATCTGAGAGCTGCCACTCAGGCAGGGCACGGGACCGAAACAATGCGGTCCCAGGGGCTCCTGCAGAGAAGTTGTGACCGGCATTTGGTCTCGAAGACAAGCAGGAAGAGAGGCGGCAACAGAGTAGTGATTTCCTGTTTCTGCGTGAGATGTGAGGGGCATGAGGCTTGATCACGGGAAAAATCTTCAGCAAGGGAGAGTGAGAGTCAGATGCATCAGGTATGCACAAGCTGCTTAAAATGTCAGTGGCCTCAGTCAAAAAAACAAAACACTTTATTCCTCTTTTCTCAATGGATGCTGGCACATTTGTGTTTATTATAAACTATTCAATTACCCGGCCAGATATAAAAACTTTCAATGTAAGAAAACTGTAAGGTGTTCCACTAAAGTACATTTTCATATTTCCCCTTTTTATTAAAAAAATACAATTAAAACTTTCAGACACTCTATACGGCAAAAGCTAAAGATTTGCCTCTTTTGGCTTCTCCTGATGAGAAAGCTGATTTCTGAAACAGCAGGACTAGGAACACAGTGGCTGGGTAGAGAAAATCCTGGCCCAATTTAAAAACAGTGGAAACAAGCAGCCTCCTGTGAATACCCAGCCGTAGGACGCCCTGTCGTTATCCAAGACCATGGTGCCAGTTATCAGGCCAGTCATGATGCAGGTGATTTACAGGTGCAAAATCAAAATCAAGACCAAGATACAACCACGTCTTTCAGGTAGAGAGCAAGGCCTAAAACACGGATGGGAAACAGCCACGCTGGTGCGGCCGGAAGCTCGTCTGTGGGGTCTCCCGGCATCGTTCCTGTTACGCTCTAATGAAAGACAGTTGCACTGCTGCTGCTCCAGTCTTCTCTGCGGGGCCAACGCTCAGCTCCCTGTCCACCGCGGGGACCGGGCTTCACCCTCCCAAGCCCATCTCAGGCTCACCTTGTCCGCAGCCGCGTCCAGCTTGGCGTTCAGCGCCTGGGCCTTCTTCAGGTAGCGCTGCACATCCTGCAGGTCCCCGAAGCCGTAGAACTCCTCGGCCTGCTTGGCATAGCTCTCTAGCTCCTCCACAAACCACTCGCACCGCAGCTGGGAGAACAGCGCATGCCGTTAACACCGCGAAAAGCTAAAAATCTCTAGGCCTCAAGAGAAACTTTAAATATCTGCCGAGGATTATTAGAATGATTGCTGCACTTTGTCACCAGCGAAATAGAAACGGCTGACCTGGAAGAAGTTCGAGATCTTAAAAATGTACAGAACTTTTAAGTTTAAATTAACGCGTGGAAATTCCTTAAATTCTGAGACTGAAAGGCTTACTCAGTACCAGCTATATAAGAAGATCTACCAGACACATTGAATAAGAATCCGTTAGACAAGAGCCTTCTTTGGTATGCTGAAGAATTTGTGCTGACAAATGATTTAGTATTTTTTAAATCCATAACAATATGAGACTAAAAGAAGAGTCTGGCTTGCTTCGTTTGAAGGCTGTCAAAACATCTGTTGCATTTTCATAGACAAATGGAAAGAAACTGAATTTCTCCAATCGTCAGAACATCAGTTCCAAGAGAGATTCTCAAATATGATAATCCAGGGTTAGTTGGTTTCTCATTATGGAATGTATTAGGCAAGTTAATCTAGATTTTAAAGGCTAAGGGCTTATGTGCCAATGTAAAATGGGTGTTTACTGAGAAATTCTTATTATGAGGATTGGTAAGCCATCACAAATTAAGCAGCTCTAAAAATAGCTAAGAATGAACTATCGAAAGTCAAATCAAGGTCATTAAAAATAGATTTTTCTATTATATAAGTGACCTCTTTTCTTCCATTACCCAGCAAATGCATTGCTGTGATCTTTTAGGGGAAGGAAAACAAGAGAAAGAATGTGCTGAGATTATGCAGACTTGTTTTTTAAATAATATGCTTTACAACAAAGTACAGATAATTCTGGGACACCTAGCCATGTCATCTTGTAGAGGTCTGTTTATTGTAATTTAAACATCTAATATTTACTCTGTGTGATGTTTCCCCATATACTTAAAAAATCTTGAAATACCTTAAAGGTAAAACAAAGATGGTAGCCCATAGTTTGAAATAAAAGACTTTTTTTGGTACTGAGGATCGAACTCAGGACCTTCTGCTTATGAGGCAGGTGGCAGAACCACTGAGCTAAATCTCTGGCCCAATAAAGGCCTTTTTAAGCGTATGCATCACTGTCCAGAAAACACACTCCGTGCATTAACTGTACTTCCTGCAGTAGGGCGCAAAGAGAACAGGGGACGTAATCAAAGCACATCTCAGCAGCTGACCTGGATCACGTCTCTTAGTTCCTGGGAATCTTACTTTCTTCATCTGTAAAATGACTGAAAATACTACTCATTCAGGTGACGGCTGGGGTGCTCATGTGGTCCTGTGAGCTCTGGTTTCACTGTGGCCCCAGAGGTCCTGGGTGGAAACACCATCCCTGGTGACACACTGCAGAGGGCAGGGCCGCAGAAGGCAATGAGGCCATCACAGCCACGTCCTCGTGGACAACCAGTGCCGTTATCACCAGAAGAGGGAGGCTGGCCTTCCAGCTCCTCCCTCCCTGACCCGCTGTCACTCCCTTCTCCTCAGGCGTGTGTGCTCCTGATCGCTGTCCTCCCGCCTTCTGGTGTGAAATGACGCAGGAGTAAGAGTTCAGACCTCTCAGACTGGGACTTCCCAGCCTCCAGGAGGATAAGTAGTAAAGTTCCGTTCTTCGAGAACTGCCAAGTCTGGGGGATTCTATTATAGAGGCACAGAGTGGACCAAGGCACTAGGTGTCAGTCACAGTGCTGGGGAGTGGATGTGAATGGAGAAAAAATAAAGATGAAACAACCTTGCTCTCTGGGACTTGACCACCTAAAGGGAGACAGACCTGAAAACAGGAGCATCGTGACCCAGTGCCGGCCCACCTGGCTCCCCTAAGTGCCACGAGAAGAGCACAGGGGATGCCGCGCTGAGTCCAGAGTGCACCAGGGAGACAAGGTGGCCAGGGAGAACAGAGAGGAGGGGCAGCAGGGAGCTGGACATTGCTTGGGGTTGTGGTCAAGTCATAGGTAAGGAGTTCAGACAGAAGGAGACGAGGTGGACAGGCACACAGTGGCAAGCCACAGACTATCTCATATGGAGACCAAACAGAACAAAAAGTTAGCTTCGGGCAGTGTTTCGGAGAGTCAGATTGACTATGAGGCACGAAGGAGCATTTCACCAAGAAAACAATGATGCCTCATTAGTATTAAAAATCCTAAAATCAGTACCATAAACCATATATGATAAATGCTGTTTTTCATTAATAGTCACTTGTGGGCAGTATTTTCCAAAGTTTTCTTCCTATTACCTTGAAAAAACAAGAAATGACCCCACGCAGACCAATATACTACTCACTCACTTCTGAGTCATCCGATGGGCATCCCAAAAGATCCCAGTTCATGCATGCATACCATCCTTTTCTAAGACTTATAGTAGGAGAACGCTACCATACATGGCCCACGAAGTAAAGGATTTGGCCGTGCTATGTAAAAAAGTTAAAATTGAAACATTTTCAGAAAGTGAAAAATCATTTAAAATCTGTTCCCACGATGCCTACCTTAAGCCCATCTTGATATTGTTCTGTTTTCTCTTTAATGATCTTCCTGTGTTCTTCAAAAATTTCCCCCATCCTTCCGTGCCACTGGAAAACACTATTGTTCAGCCTGATGTCCGCAGGGGAGAAGTTGGTGCACTCAATGAGGAAGGCGAGGCAGTTTCTGGAATCCACTAGTCTCTGTCCCAGTTCAATCATATCAGTGGCCTCCACTTTCTGAATGTAAGCCTGAGAGAGAAGCAGAGGTTACCGGTGGCATTTTAATGGGCAGCTCATGTCAACAAATAGCCCCCAGAAGGGAGCTGCATGAATACGCGTGGTCTCACTAGAAAGCAGCCTTGGGCTCCAGATAGGGACCACAGCCCGCTTCGCTTCTCCTCTCCCCAGACACTTCACTAAAATGGAAGGGAAAATAATCTTTAAAAACACTTTAACACAGAGAAAGCAATGGAAAATCGGAGGGGGGCGCGGGTGCTGAGGTTCGTGGAAAGTAAGAAGCAGATGCTCTCTGATGATTTCATTTATTCTTCCAGCATGACATTCTGGGCCCCCAAGTGTCCGACACTGTGCCAAGGGCTGAAAATGCAGAGCGACAAGACACAGACAGAAAAAGAAGCTTTTCCCTGAGGGTTTTGTGGTCTCGCTGCAGAGTCAGTAAAAGTGCAAGCTCTCAGCAGGACAAGTGCCCTAAGGATAGGCACAGGCTTGCAGCTCTAACTGAAGATGTGAGGTACAGCAGAGAGAGTGAAGGATGGAGCCAAGGAGAGGGAAGAGCAGGCAAGCGGAGAGAGCTGCACATTGAGGGCTCACAGCGGCCAGGGGCTCCACACAGCCGGCAGGGATCCAGCCGGGCAGGAGGGCAGGAGGAGACTGGAGCTGAAAAGTTAGGGCCTGGCTGGCTGCACACTAGTCAGCAGCACAAAACCACTAAGGAAGAAAGAGCGGTGCAAAACTATCCACACAGACTGACACGCTCTGCATACACAAGGAAAAAGAAAAAAGAAAAGGAAAAAACCCCCCACAAAACAACAACTTGATTGATTAGTAGAGATTTCAGAAAGTAAGAAGAGTCCAGAGCGGACAGAAACGAGACAAAAATACACAACCAATAGTTGTATATATTGTCTCAAAGCTCAGAGAAATTATGGGAAAGAAGGAACTTCTATGATTTGCACAATTCTATATAGTTTAAATTGTCACTTTTACAATTAAAAAGCAAAACTGTCTAGAAATATTTCACCAATATGGCAGTGTCCTAGCGAGATTAAGTGTTTTCATGATGCAAATCCAAACGAATACGATGTGAGCCATAGTGATTTTCACAAACAACAGATGTCTCCCTGGAAATGTATATGCACATTCATTTAACCTGCTTTGCAGTCAGATGGATTTTTATTTCCTCGCACTTATGATAAATGACTGATTTCTATATTAAATTTACCAGCTCATGGGAATAAACTTTTTTATGATACAGAAATATTTTTAAAACTACTATACAATGAATCCTATTTGTTAATTCTGTTAAAGATTATTACATGTAAGAGAGATTCACAGCAAATAAGCTCCAATTCCCAATTACTTCCAGTGATGGCTCTAAGGGAAAACAAATGACATTCTCCATAGCCAGCAATCCTTTTTCCAAAGGAGTTTTCCTTTAATGAAGATAAACTCACAGTTGAAGAACTAACTATACTTATAATCATCCATAACCAAAGAATTTCATTGTGGCCTATGATAATTAATATAAAATATAAAAGCATTCCAAACAGAATATATATGGGCCCCTATGCTTCACACACACACAGACGCAGACATACTAAAACCCCCAAGCCTAAATATTTAAAAGAAAAATAACTCTATCAAGATCTACTTCAAAGCTGGTTCTAATGATTTTAACAAACTTCTGTTTACGTGAATAAGGAATAAGCATACATAATTATTTGAACTCCTTTTACAATTTCCTGCCCATTCAAGGTTTTGAAAATTTTTACAGGTTTTGGGGGTTCACTTCAGTATTTTAAAATCTAAAACTAAGAGCACTTTATTTTGGATTTTTGGAATACTAGAAAATTTTTTTTAAAAAAAAGAATCGTGTAAAACCTTAATGCTGTAAGAATAAAAAGAGAATAAAATGACATGGCCATTAACTTGTTGTTCTGCCCGATTTTATTTGCCATTAGGCGGATTTCAAACACAGAAGTAACATGAAAGTCAATCAAAGTGAGGCGATATTTTGCCGTAAGTTCTATGATCAAAGGGTAATATATCTCAGCAAACCACACAGAAAACACTCATCCATAACAAATGCAGCTCTTACAGGAAACAAAGTAAAACACTGATTAAAGATGAAGTACTGCGGATTACAAACGAGGGGCGGCCACGTGCCTCAAGTCTCCCAGGAAAGCCGGACTTAGGTCTGCCCCGCGGCGACACTGGTCATGCTTCTCTCACAACTGTCCTGGTGGACCATCGTGTTGGCAGCCCTGATACCTCACCTCTCCTGTCCCCACGCCCCGTATGTCCCTCCACGCTGCTTCTTCAGGTCACTGAGACACCGGTCATGTGCCTGGACTAGACTCACCACGCACTTGCTTACGTCTCCACCTCACCTTGAGGGAGGGCCCAGGGCGGCCTGCTGGGATCTGAGAGACAGGTGTGGCAAAGGCAAACTGCAGAGCCAGTCCCACCAGTGAGCCCACCTAAGAGCCAGCCATCCCCGCTCAGCCCAGCAAAGGACCCCGCCGAGGACCGCGCCAGACAGAACAGCCCAGGGGAATCCAGTCGAAATGGCCTTCAAAGGGTCGTGATTTTTAGCCTGTCTTAGCTTTCAGAGGGATTTGTTTCACACTGTGGCGGCAACGAACGGATACACACACAACCAGAGTTCATAAATGATACCTTCATTTCCATTAGTTCTGCTGTATTTGGAGGGGTGCTGAGGGCCTTTTCAGCTATCTTCTCAAATTCTTCACATAGCCTAAAATGCCAGGCAAAATCGATATTAAAAGATGCATGGTGAAATTTCACCCCAAAGCGTATTCCTGTTTACTATTTAAATGCTCCAGTGCAAGAAAAGAGCAGGGCTGTAATTTATCTACATGTCATCGAATAAATTAAGGGCACAACTGTGTCCCTTTAGTTTTCGTTCAGTGTTAATGTAATGAGCTTCTACAACAGTAAGGGACAGGGGTGCGGAGATAAATGAAGTGGAATCACGGCCCGCAGCGTCACGGTCCAGTGTGGAAGGCAGGACCCTAAGCCGCCAACCTGGAGTCTGCAGACTGGGACAGAACCGAAGCGGGCCAAGCACTCAGGAACATCCGGTAAAATGCAGCTGCTTCTGGCTGATTTGGGTTGGGGTCACCAGGAGTAAAGCAATTTCTTTGGGTTGGGGAGAAAAAAATAGTAGGAGCCAAGGCGTCCAGACCCTTTTCACAGAGAAGTGGGAAGGGAAGAAGGAGGAGAAGGGCTGGGCTGGGAGGCGGAAGAAGCTGAAAGTCCCACCTCAGACACAGTGGGCAGGGAGAGGAGGCTCCATTAGGGGAGGTGGAGGAAGGGGGGGGAGGGGACAGACCCCAGCCACCGAGAATGTGGCCACCAGGGGCTCCAGGATAGGCTCCTGGGACCGGGAAGAGGCCAGGCTCCTGGGACAGTGGCCCTGGTGGGGCCTCCGCACATCAGAGAGTCTCAAATAATTGAGGAAAAGTGGACAAAAAGGAGAGCTGACACTGCTCAGAGGACGTCCAGTTTCTGTCCTGCGTCCCGGGGCCTCGGCTCTCACAGGAGCGAGCACGGATCAGAGCAGAGGCGCTGTGTGAGGGATCCATCTGCGGCCCCGACTCTGCTTCCTGCCTGCCTGCCCCTCGCCCCTGTGCCATGCTGCCTGCCGGGGCTCCAGACAGCTGTGACCCAGACCCTGCAGATCACAGGCCACCACGAAACTTTCCTCCTCCTGTCGTGAGTGCTGGGAGTTTAGTGTCAGCAATGAGAATGTTACTATGAGAGGCATCAAGAGGTGAGGAGAGTAGCTATTGCGTGAAAATAATATTTCACCCAGCATGGAAAGCTCTAATTAAAGACACTTTCACCATTCTCCAGTACTTCTAGTGGAAATGGTGCCTTCGGATAAAAATAAGATTCTGGCTCACAGACAAGACCCCAGTCCAGTATCCGTCCTCCCCTCCCTGTCACCGCTCTCCCCCGGGGTCTATGAAAGTGACACAGACCAAGACTGGGCCCAGGGCAGGTAGGGCTCTTCTCTGCCGAGTCTCCCCCTCCCCAAACTCTGCCCTGAAGGAGTCGGTCCAGTTCCCCACTCTCCCTGGAGGGTGCAGTGCGGAGCTCACAGCAACCAGGCGTAATTTACAGCTTGTACTTTATTTCCCTGTTGACAGTGTAAGTTCCTCCAGTGGTTTTACTCGTATTCTAAGCCTGGGCCTATGCCTAACACAGGGTTGTAAAACAAAGCTCCCACCTCAAGGTAAGTATTACTACTACTACATTGCTTTCTCATAATAAAAATGTTCTGATTATCTCCAGTATTTCCTCTTAACAGATACAAAAGACTTTCCCAGAGCCAACAGCAGCACCAGTTGCAGGGAAACTAGTGACCCCAGTTCTATTCCGTACCCTAAATAAACCGATGCCCCACTTTACATATTACTGTTCAGTGCACTTCCCTAACATGGATCAGCTTTCCTAAAAGTACCCAGCACAGCCAACAAATGGATTTGCACTAAGACACCAAGCAGTCGTGGCCCAGAAGAGTAGTCAGAGACAGAATGCCGAATCTGAGAGTCCCTAAGACTCAAGACAACTTTGGTGGCAATCCACTTTGAAAACCCGCTCTGTACACCGGTTACACGAATTAAAAAATCTAAAGCTAGATAATGTTCCCTGACTCGGGCAAAAGAAACGCGAACACAACTTAGTAGCACTTTTGTTCCGATAGACAAAATCAATACTCATATCTCAAAATGACAGCAGAAGCCAAGCAGGAGGACATGGGGCGCAGTCGTCCCTCAGATCACGCAGGACATGGCTCTAGCCATTGCTCCTGTCAAGTGACAGTTCCCTTCCGCTACGTCCCTTCCTGAAACAGGAAGCAGCGCCCACGTACCTGGTATTCAGTTCCTGGTGGTCTTTGTACATCTTCGCTATCAACCGCCCACAGATAGCGTCTGCTCGTTTCACTAGCGCTCTGATTAGCTCCTCGCAGTGCATCTCAAACATTCCCAGGCGGACACTCTGTAACACAGCACGAGCTCAATAAACGCAGAGAGAAATAAAAGGAAAGAACATCTTGTCGTTTCCCTAACGTTGAGTTTTGCCTGTGTGACCTAACAAGGCTGAGGTGCTTTGTTTCGTTATCTTCCACATAAATGCCCTTGAAATGTGTTATCTTACCTTCTAATTCTATTTCAGAACAATAATAACTTCTAAAACCTCAGGAAATCGAGGTATTGCTAAATAGACATGGTGGGGTTCAAATGTTATATTTGCTCTGTACGTAAAGTAGTTTGTGGTCACAACAGAAAATATGGTAAGTGTTTAAAAGGAGGACAGGAAAACTTTTAAATTCTTATTAGTGTCCTGCTAAACAGAAGCAAGCATATTCTGCTGTAATTACTGTCTTTTCCAAAGGACTGATAGACACGATGTGAAGAAAAGAACTAGATTCTTGAAATTACCTAACGTGCTCTCAAACCAACTCTGGAATTAGAGCCTCAGTAAACGACACAGAAGTCATGGCTGTCCTCCCCAGCCCTGGCACAATCTGCCCCATCCCCAGATTTCACAACGCTAGGCCATGAGCTCAGTACACAGACTCCTGTCGACAGCCACACCGACTCCTTCTCTGTGCCCCTAGAGCCACAGGCTGAGGACACAGAGAAACAGCCATGAGATACGTCAGCAGCTGTGCAAACCCGCCACATACCTTCCTAGAGGTGTACTGTATTTCCTCGGTTAGTCTTTGATATTTCCGGATTTCCTCTATTATCCTCTCATAATGGTGGTTCGCCTCAAGGAACACGTCTGTATCTCGCTCAGCTCTTTTGGAGATTAAAAAATCGTATTTGTCATAGAGTCGGAGGTGCGCAGTGGGAGCCACACTTTCCCTCTCCACCACCTCCCTGATCTTGGCCTTGTGAGCAGCCACGATTTCATCCAGGATTATGGGCTTCAGGGTGGTTGGTTTAGACTTACTCTCCTGAAGAAAGGGGAGAAAACAGCGAGAGCTTTTTTATACCTGAAGTAGCAACCCTGGCATTTATCCTTGTAACAATGCCAACCTTATGATAACGCTGTCTTTTTAATTTACAAGGTCTTTTATTTCTCAATCTCCAATTTATACGCAGATATCCAGTCTAACCAAGCCAGTGTTTTAAAAGGTGGTGCTATATAATATTTTGTCTTCCTCAAGGATACCTAGTTTTTCACTATGAAAGATGAAAAAACAGTCACCTGAAGATGAAGATGTGTATTTGGTAAGGTTTAGAACATAAACAGCAAAATCCACATTTTATTTCTGCAATTATGTTACCTATTTAAGAGTGTACTTAAGCTGCACGTTATTAAAATAAAGTACACTACTAGTTCAATGTCATATCATGTTTTGTTTTGTTACTGCTCACTATGTAGCTCAGGCTGGCCTCTGATGCTTAGCAATCTTCCTGCCTCAGCCTCCCAAGTGCTAGAGTTACAGGGCGCACCACTACACCAGGCCATAGCATTATATTTTTTAATCACAGAGCCTTTTCATCTTGAGGACAAATCTATCTAAGACAGAGAAAGACTGCTGATTCTTTCATAAACCTTCAATCCCTGATTCTGTGGGCACCAACTAGAGCAGACTAAAAATCTTAGCTGCAAAATTTGTTTTCTGCAGAGATGGGAAGGGGAGCTGTGGAAAAGTGGGGTAAACATGATCAGGATGTAGCACTATGTGTCCTTCCCCCAGATGAATAGGATTACTGTGTGGCAAACAAACAGTAATAAAAAGCTTAACATTCTGCTATCATAATTAGAGTAACAGAGGGCAAGAATGGGCCAGAGGGGGCATTAGCCGGCCGCGCCCCCTGGTGGGCCGTACAGGATCTCAGCTCGGAGCCACAGGCTTCACAGACAGCATGGCAAGTCCTCCAGGCCAGGGCCGGCACCCAGGAGATGCTCGGTCTCATCTTTTCTAAGGAGATAACATCACCTACACATGTACTGCACACAATGCAAAATTACTGGGGTTTGTGAAGCTCATTAATGCTCATTATAGAACGAGTCTTAGATTTATTGATTCGTCTAATCTGTAAAGCCTATAGATCTATCTTTCTAGACAGAATTTGATAGGACTCTGGAGCTATGATAGAGATCGCAATTTTGATATGGAGCTTGATGACCTATTAGTTGGAGAAACGCTGTTGGGTAGGAGAGCTGGGTTTGCCTGACAATGGTATGAATGCCCCTCTGCAGTTTCCGTCACAGAGCTTCAAGTCTGTGTGCACGAGGCACATTTCTTGTAGTCTGTCACTGTTTGCTTCCAGTCCTCATTGATTGTCAGAATCGCCCGGGGCGGAACCCGAGTGGGGTCCAGAACACAGCGAGCCCCGGGTTTTGTATTTAAAATGTCACCAGGGACCACGGGTGCACAGAGCTTCAAGATCACTTCCACATCCTGGGAAAGCTGTACCTCGCAGGATGTGACACCGGGAAAATTTCATTCTCCACTGAGAAGTCTAAATTGTAATCCTGCTTTCAACGTGTTGTGATACCCTCTTCACTTTAGGGACCAGGAAGCTGAGAGCCATCTTAGAATCATAAAACCCCAGCAGCTGTGCTCACTTGAATAATGGTGACGTCTGCTTTTCTCCACTCAGAGCTTGGCGGTTCTTATTAACCATTTATGTTTGTCCATTTCACTAGTTATCTCGAATCCTTCTCAGAAAAAGGCAGGATATTAGGGTGGAAAAGAAGGCCACAGGGGAGCAGAATCGCACACAGAACAAAGCAAACAGTAAGTTTCTTGAGACTTCTAATCCTAGCAACACGAGGAACAGATACCCAGAAAATGATGAGTTCAAAACACATAACTGTGCTGAAAAGGGCTAACTTTACATTTGATAATGCACAGCTAGGGAAGCCAAGTAAGATGGGGAAGGCCAAGAGCCCAGAGGAGAAGGGACGGAACGGAGAGAGGCTGCAGCGTGAGGCGGGACCTCACTGTCCCCCTGGTCTCTCCAGTTGGCCGCAGGGGACAAAGTCGCAGCCTGAGGTCCCAGGAAGACTTCATGCACCCCACACAGCCAGAAGGCAGGAACTGCACACAGGAAATGAAGGGTCCGAGGGAACAAATCTTCAAACACTAAGAAAAGGCCCGTGAGGGAAGAGCAGAGAAATAAAGAAGAAAACAATGGCTCTAACAATTCGCACCCACAATTGACGCTCAGATTTAGTTGAGTGTTCACACGGCTACCGCTGTCCACAAAAGCATTCAAAAGGGGGTCCATCAAAGATGACCTTCGGTCTACAGGAACCTCCCGAGCACTCATCAAGTGAGGACGCAAGTCCCACAGGGAACAACTCACACCACAGCCCCAGCCACTACTTACAAGGCCCTTACGTACGAACAAGGTGCTCGAAATGCATGGCCAATGTTTAAATTTTTTAAAAACGTATTAGAGTAAAAGACACACCGCCAGTGCACCCTCTGAGTCCTCCGCCTCACTTCAGACACACTCATCCCATCCTCTCGCCACTTTCTGGGGCAGCACTGGAAGACTGCTTTTGTGGCTGTCTTTGCAGAGTGTGATCTAAAATACAGTGAGGCTGCTGCCGCGCGCCATCCAGCTGACAGGCAGGCCGCCATTACTCACCGGATCTGGCACCCGTGACTTCTGGCTCTTTCCCCAAGTTCAGATGACCACGAAAGGTAAATGTCTTGAATCGATTCAGGACATCGAGGCAGCCGGGACAGCACAACTAAAGACACTCGGGAAAGAGGATTCCAGAGCTGCTTCGGAAAGTGGCCAGAACGATGGGGTGAGTGTGCTCAAAGAGAAGCGGGTATTTTGAGAGAGAGATTGTCCTAAAGGCAATGTGTCCTTTACTGTAATAAAGTTCTTCTCATTTAAATAGTCACTATGTTGTTTGATCACATCTTGTAATCTCATAATAATAAAGAAAAACAGCCAGAGAAATAAATCTCCAGGATCAGGAGTCAACAAACAGCAGAATCAGACAGGCCAAGGAGAGAGATGCTGGAATTATTAAATATGGAAACAGTCAAAAATTAATACATACATAAAGAACTAAAAGCTTAGTAAATACATCAATGAACAGAAAAAATTATCTAAAGCAATCAGACCTATTTGAAAAAGAACTTAATGGAATTCCGGGAAATAAGAAAATAACAATTAGGACCTCAATGAAGAGGCTAATAAACTCAAAATGCATACTTTTATAATCAAAATGTTACATGATGTAAAGGAAGACACAAATTACAAAGATATGGAAAATCTGTACAGAAATATACCAGGAAAATATATATATTTGGAATATACAGATAGTCAATTTTTTTGAAAATTAAGAATAATAACTCCAAGATCCAGGATGATGATTAGAAGATGATGATTTAGAAGGCAGGATGGGAATGCAAACAGAAGGAGTAACAGGACAGCTTTCTTCCTGACACTGGGCTACAGCTCTGCGGGTGTTAGCTCTACTGCTGCTTAAACCTTGACACAGTAGTGGCCCGTGCCCTTGTGTCTACATCAAAAATCTACAAACTATTTAAAAATATATAGCAGGAAGGAGAAAGCTACCAATTGACCTTACAAAACTCATAAACCTTGAAAGTTAAGGAAGCTTCAGATGCACCTGTGTCATGATTTCAATGGCTTTAGACGGATCTATGAGCTGAAAGGACAGAGGCAGGAGCTGGCTATTTAATGGAGAAAGGAAAGGTAACAAGGTAGGTACCAGCCTTGGGACCGTTTCACAGGCTGGAAGTGTCCGATGCAGGCTGGGACCCCAAGAGAGGGCTGCGGCCAAGCACTGAGCCTGAGGCGGGCAGACACCCCAGCGGCCCCAAAGCCTGGCAGCTTGAATCCAGACCCTCAGCAAGTTCAAGAAGTCCGGCGGAAGCCCGAGAGAGGTCATGGATTTTCCAAGAGAAGCTAAAGAGGAAAACGGCATCTTTTAAAAAACAAAGATTTCTTCTAAGGTGCTTCTTCCCAGGTGATTCATATTCGGGAAGCAGAGGATACCCATCTGAACCTCCCAGAAGTTTCCTGAAGTGACTGTCATGTGAGAAGAGCACCCTTTAACTTACCCATTGGGAGTACAATTTTGTCTCAACTCTTGGCACAAAGCTGACAACCTTCATCATGACATCATACACGTTTACAAGGATATCTGTATATTCCTCAAACTCGGGTTCAAACTTAATGGTGTCATTATCAAGAATGAGCCTCATGATGAAACCTGGGTGTTCAAAGGCTCTGACAGAGTCCTGCAAGAAGATAAAGATGTGTCTGTGCAGCTCTAACCGGAGGAAACAACATACAGTCACGACCACAGCTGTGTACTTATCTACAGCGTATACCCTCGCTGCTCTTCTGCCTTCCACAGTTAGGCTGGGAGCTCTACCGAGAGCAGCAAGAGTGACCACAAGTGACTTGTATCCGCCAGGCCTACAGGCTAACTACAGGGCCCGGGTCTCAAAACCAGGGTGAAATGCGTAGCAGTGGGCTCTGGCAGCATGGACACAGCAGCCCAGGAGAAAGACACTCCAATGCCAAGGCCCTGTTCACATGGTCACTGACCGCGAGCTCTTCCAGAGAGAAAAAGCACTACTCATGGGCTTTTCCCCAGCCTTCGTGATCTACGCTTCCCAGCTGTGGGGATTTCTACTTACTTCCCCCAGTCCTCACCACTATAACGTGATGATAATCACATACCCTAGATATGCAAGGGGACTTTAACTGTCTTTAACAGCGGAAGTATGGTAGGTCTAAATATGTACCTTCTGCTCTCTCAATGCTAAAGGCGTTTGTCATTTTCCCCTGTGCAAGGACTGAAACTGGACAGGCAGCGAGCACTTCCCGGTGTGACGGCCCATACTCACCGGAGGCTGCGCGATGAGGTCCGTGAAATCTTGCATGGAGACTAAAGTGAGGTCCTGCAGCTGTAAAGTCATGAGTGTAGCCGCACAGTTGAAAAAAGATTCCAATTTGGCACTGTTGCCACTGGTTGGCAATTGCTTCTTTTTATTACCTTGGTAATAAATATTCTGCACTTCTGGAAACCACCTTGAAAGAACAAGAGACTTTTAAAAGTCAGTAGTCTCGGTGAATTACTCCTTTTACATTTAGTGTCAAAAGTAACTTCTAGACACCCAAAGGTCACCCTAAAGAAGTATAATGCTAAGTGACATTATCCACGCTCTGAAATGTAAGTGCTGGAATATTTCGCGTCGCCTAGGGAAGGAAATTTTAAATCATAACCAGTAGAAAATGACTCCATGATGGGCTGCTATAAGACATAAATCTTACCTCCAGAACAATGGTTTCTGCACTTTTTGAAGAAATATGAGAACTAACTTTATTGACATTTCAGATTCTTCTCTTCGGTCTCTTAACTGTTCTCGGGGGGACATATTTGTTAGCTTAAAGCTATCCTGTGAATAACTGCTTAAAGAGCTTAAACCCACTTGGTATTTCATGCCATTCTGTTTAACAATTTCTTAAAAACAAATCATCAAAGTCACGTATTTTATTTTGCCCTTTCTCTTGGGAGTGACTGATCGAAAACAAAGTTTCAAATGTGTGAGCGTAGACAACTGTGCATGCATCTTTGTAATAGAAGAACAACAGCGCAGTTAGTGTGCACATCGCGATGACTGCTAGGGACGTCTGCCACTTGTAAGACCCCTGTCCAACACCACAGGGTTAAAGCATATTGGTGCCAGCTTTTGAAGTGACAAGGGATGATAAATAATTAATATAATTTCAGGAGTTGCCTAAATGTTCCAAGACAGCAAATCTAAGCTCTGATATGTTTACTCATCCTCTGAACAAATATGCATCGAATCCCTCTTCTACACGAAGGACAGCGCTGCTGAGACATGAAAGGCAGAACATCTTTCTGCTCACTACAAAAAGGCAAACGCATCACGCAGAGCACGGATCTGAAGCCAAAGGACAGAGAAGGAGTTTTCTCCTGACTCATGGGAGAATGGCTCGAGGGTGAAGGTGGCAATGTCACCGAAGAGAAAGAAACGAGGATGGGACTCTGAAGTGGCAATGAGGCGCGAAGTGACACGTATCTGATCATCTCTGTGTCTACACAGGGATGACACACAGTCGGGCTGGCGCACTAGAAAACAGGAAGACGTGCAGGGGCCACGTCCGTGAGGGCTCCTGCAGAGCTTCGGAGCTCAAAGCAAGACCTGGGGCAGACGCTCCGAGATGAAGCCACAGCAGAAGCTTCTGTGCCGAGGTAACACTGCAAAAGCAGCAGAGAGAGAGAACCACGGGGAAACCCACTGAGACAGACCATGCTGGGTCAACAAAGAGAACCGAGAATCCCAGCACGTCCGGGCAAGAGAGGGAAGGGCTCTCTATGGCTGGAGAGAGGATGAATAAATGCATTATAATTACTCACCCACTATCTGAAGAATATTTATATAAATCCCTACTACGTGTAAAACATTTGGGATACAAAGTACTTCTCAGATGCCGGGCGTGGTGGCGCATGCCTGTAATCCTAGCCCTCAGAAGGCTGAGGCAGGAGGATCACTGTGAGTTTGAGACCAGACTGGGCTACACAATGAGTTCCAGGTCAGTCTCAACTACATAGTGAGACCCTGTCTCAAAAAACCGAAAATAAAGTATTTCTCAGTTTTTCAAGTGCTTGTAGATTAGTGAGGTGGGAAGAGGGACATCGGTAAAGAAATACAAGGAAGGAGTCATAAGAGAATAAAGTTCCGAGGCATCTGGAAAAAAGGCCACTGTAGGTAGATTACAGCAAAGATTCGTGGATCCACGGTTCAACACAAGGACAGAAGAAAGGATTTTCCAGTAATGAGCGGCCTCAAGCATCGCCAACAGTGTGAATCCCAGGATTTTGATGATGGTGTGAGAGAGGCTCTTACTTCGTTTGTCTCTTTCACTGCTGATGCTGCCATTAGTTAGTATGCACAGACAAAAATACTGAAAGTCACAGACTCTATGAGGGATGCAACTGGACTTTCAGATATTTTCTTCTAACATTCCCACCTGAACCAAGAGAAGCCAAGCGAAACTGACTATGTAATAAAGGAAATAAAGAGCCTCAGACTTAATTCGTAGATAAACTTTTAAAGGCGGTAGAAATGGTTTCAATCTAGTCCTGGAAGCAGAGAGAATTAAAATGTATTTAGATGTCATGGCTATTTAGGATGGCTGAGGTTAAGGTCTTCTTGGAAATGAAGATGAGATTCATTAGGCTCCAGGGCAGAAGGTCTTAAAAAGCAGGTTAGGAATTACAGGTTTATTCTGTAAACAAGTGGGAGACCCTGGGTGGGGAACATCTTAATATTCACCTGCCAGGGGTTTACAGGATAGGCTTGACAGGGAGAGCTACTGAGATAAAGGGTACAGCAGCAAGTCAGGCCCTGCGGCCATCTACAGGGAAAATCAAGAGGGTCTGCCACAGGAAGCAGCAGAGAGAATTAAAATGCAAAAAGATTAAAAAAAAAAAAAACAGCAGGCACTCATGGGATAGGTTTCAACAAATAGGACGTGACTGAAACGCAAATTGGAAATCAATAACAGAAGGACTCTTGGAACTTGACAAACATGTGGAAATAAAATAACATACTCCCAAATAACCAGTAAGTTAAACAGAAATCACAAGGGAACTTAAAAAGTAATTTAAGGTAAGCGAAAATGAAGACATCATAAGTCAGAACTCAGGATGAAATAATAAGCAAGAGACCAACCTTGTAACTGTAAAAACATCTACATTAAAACAAGAACTATACCAACTTAAGAATGTAAAATTCCACTGGAAACTAGAAAAAAGAGCAAACTAAACTCAAAACAAGAAGGGATGAAATAGCAACTTGAATGAAAACAAACAAAATAGAAAATAGAAAAACAATAGAGAAAACCAACAATCCTAAAAGTGAGTTTTTTGAAAAGAGGAACAAGGGCCTGGGATTTACCTCAGTGGCACTACACCTGCCTTGCATGTGCAAGGTCCTGAGTTCGATCTCTGGTAACCAAAAAGAAAGAAAGAAAAAAGGAACAAAATACAAAATCGACAAACTTATAGCCAGTATGACCAGGAAAAAAGAGAAGATGCTCAAACGACTGAAATCAGGGATGGGCATGGAGTGGTGGCACACGCCTGTAGTCCTGGGACTCTGAGATGTTGGGGTGGGAGGGCTGTATATGTTCGAGCCCGGCCTGGGTAACCTAGTGACTGAGCAAGACCCTGTCTCAAAATAAAAACTACGAAAAAGGCTGAGGATGTGGCCCAGTCCAAAGGCCCTGGGTTGAATCTCTCCAAAAAATCATGGATGGAAGACAAGCTATCAATACCTATCTTAGAGAAATGCAAACAATTATTAAGGACTATGAAGAAAAATTATACACCAACAAACTGGATAATCTAGAAAAAAACAGATTAATTCTAGAAGACACACACCACCAAGTATAACTCAAGAAGAGATATAAAATATGAGCATACCTGTAACAAGTAAAGAAGTTAAAGTGATAATCAAAAACCTTCCAAAAATTTTTTAAAAGGCCAGAACCTCATAGCAGATGAATTCAATGGTTGTTCTACCAAGCACTGAAAGAAGAATTAATACCAACTCTTCACAGACCAAAACGGAAAAGAAAAAGAACATTTCCTAATTCTTTCTATGGGCCAGTATTACCTTAAAACCAGATAATATTATCCAAAACCAGACACGGACATTATAAGAAAAAGAAATCTACAGATCAATATACCTTATAAATATAGACACAGAAATTCTCAACCAAATACTATCAAATCAAACCTCACAGCATATAAAAAAGTTATACCTCATGACCACTGGGCCATGGACACAAGGTTCATTTACTATTTGGTAATGAATGTAATGCAGCATATTAGTAAAATAAAGGAAAACACATGACTATTTCAAAAGAAAACGCATTTGACAAAAATCTAACTTTTTCAAATAATGGCAAATCATATACCTGATGAAGGTCTAGTATTTTAAAGAATTCCTTCGACTCAGCGATAAAGTCAGATAACTTAATAGTTAAGTAAAGAATTTGGATAGACATTTAGGCTGAATGGGAAGCATGTACAAATCAAGCCCACAATGAGATAGCAGGTTACACCCACCAGGATGGCTATACTCAGAAAGAAAGACCATGCATGTTGGCAAGGATGTGGAGAAATTGAACCTTCACATAGTGTTGTTAGGACTGTAAAAATCTCACCATCAGGAAGTAGTGGGGCAGTTCCTCAAAAAATTAAACATGGAGCTACCATATAACCCAGAAATCCTACTCTTTCCTAGGTATGTGCCCAAGAAAACTGAAAACATGTTCATAAAAAACAACTGTTCATCACAGCATTATTTAGAAGGCAAAAAGTGGAAACAATCGAAATGTTCAACAACCACAGATAAACTGTGGTGAGCCGTATGGTGTCATGTTATTGGGCCAGAGGAAGGGATGACGTGTGGATTCATACTATACCAGGGATAAACCTTGAGCATATGCTGCTGCCAATAAGAGACCACAATAAATGACCACATACTGTGTTATCCCACTTAGATGAAATTTCCAGAACGAGAAAAGCACAGGGACAAAAAGTAATTAGTGTTGACCAGGTGCTCATGGGAGGGAGAAGGCGAAGTGACTGCTGATAGACCCAGAGTCTCTGCAGCAGTGAGGAAAATGTTTTGGAGTCAGTAGCGATGGTTACACAGCCTGGGGAGTATATCTAATCCACTGAACTGTACACATTACACGGGTGAATTTTATGCTGAGTGAATTATATCACAATAAAAAATAGAACAGCGGGACCCAGGAACATGGCTTGGGATAGGGTAGTGGTGGTGAGGGCGCACACAAAGAGCAAAACTGACCAAAAATTGTCATCAAGAGATTTCTACATTGCCCTGGGAAAGTTTTACAACAGGAAGAATAACTGGCTTAGAAGAAAACTGTTATGGACATGCTGAGATCCAGATGCCGCTGTGACATTCAGCTGGAGACACTCAGCATCCAATCTGTAATAAGGATCCAGTGCTCGGAAAACAAGAAAGATCTTGAAACAGCCAAGATACAGGAAATCAGGAAACTGTTGAGAGAATATACAGAAAAGACAACAAAAAGACTGAGGGGGCCCGGGGATTGAGCTCAGTGGTGCCACTGCCTGCCTCACACGTGCAAGGTCATGAGTTCGATCCCCGGTACCAAAACCAACAACAGAAAGACCAAGGGAGCCTCTACTTCTAGGGGATGATGAGATTGTAGTTAGGTGATGGTGGTTATCATCAGAGAAGCACCAGGGCACAGAAAGCAAGGTTTCTGGAAAGCTGCATAACAAGTCAGACAGCTGCTGACACGTGGAAGAGGAGGCCTGGGAAGACCTTGGGGTTTGGTGTAGGTGTCAAAATCAATCACTGGTGAATCGGGACTCCCCTGTGAGCTAATGCTCTGCACCGCAGACTCAAACACACTCTGGCTCACAAAAGTGTAACCAGAGAGCTCTCTGCCATAGAAACTGTCAGGAAGCCCAGAGAGACACAGCTAGTCAATCTACATTTCTCAGCAACAATTACTGGATAAAGGTGTGTGCTCTACTTTTTACTTTGACCAGCATTTTGCTAAAAGTTCCGGTAGCAGCGCATTCCTGGGACATCAGCCTCAAGGTATGGATCAAGATCATTTATTCGTGTTCTATTCTTAAGAGGTCATTTTTCTTCTCTTTAATTATGAGACTTCATTTTTCATGTCTCGATTTTTAAAAAGCTAAAATTCTTTCAAGTGATATCAAACAAAGAATTTGATCCTAACTTATTGGAGAAAAACAGGAAAGATTTAATCTACAACAATCAATATGCATTTCTAAGTAACATCTGGAAATCAGAAAGCTATCCTAGAAGTTTGTTTTAAATTTGATCCAATTTTAGTGTCGTATTTATATGAATTAATAACCCATGATAGAGATACTTTTCCTACGCTGTTCTGCCACTTACATCTTTAATTGCCCTACGTGGCCATTCCATTCTGAAGGGCAATCCTTGGAGAAGTTTAATTATCACTTGATAAGCACAACTTCCATCGAGATTGTAAGCTCATTTAAACAATGTAGTTTCCCTCCTAAGCATTTTTTAAACTTTTTTTGCATCCCTCACCCAAATCAAGAGGAAAGAGGCACAGTGCCTTGCATGTCTTCGTAGTAGCTGACAAATTAATATCCGGTAAAGGACTAGTTCACGGCCACTCCCTGCACAGCACCCAGCACTGCTCTCAGACCAGAGGCAGGAAGGAGACGTGTAGGAAAAGGCAACCACTGGTCATGATCATTTCAGTTCCTCTACAGTCTGTGCTGCGTGGCCCTCTGGATGTGCATCAGGCAGGACAACTAAAACATACAACTGTCAGAAACGATGAAGATGTCGTTGAAATGGGATTTCCTAATGCAGCTAAAATGGAAGCCCCCTCATCACATTTCTAAACTTGAACTTCCCCACATGAGGTGTCAGCACTTACGTTTTTAACAGAACGTCTTTAGCCGTCTCCATGTGCTTCATGACAATATTCTGGAAGCTCGACAGCTCTAGGGCATCTCGGCGATTGTGAAACTCTTCCGTGTCAACTAAACGTAATTTTCTGCAAGAGGTTAAAGCAAAGGATGAGTCAAGATCAAGGCTTTGGGGGCATTTTTTTGTCAATGGGTTCCTTCTCATATTCCTAAGGTTTTGCCGTGAAAGGGATGTTCTATAAAAACAAACTTTCATGAACACGAGATATTCTGAATTTAAAAGTAATTTCTATTGTTACATTCAATAGGAATACCGAATGATCTTATGAATCTTCACCAGGAAGTAGAAAAGTGCAAGAACTGGGATTTGATTAGAGCACAGGCTGCTTTTGGCTCCCAAAGCCGAGCAAATAAATCGGGAAAAGAGGAGGGCTCCGTCCCGATGGGGGCTGTTTCCGAAGCAAGTCTCACACCCTCTGAGAAGAAATCAGCCCTGCAGGCAGCCACCGGGAGGAGACATTCTCACACTCAAGACAGAGCAGCATGATCTTCTGAACCTGTCTCAATTTTTTCCTAATGCAGGGTTTGCTCAAACCCATGACTTCCAATACAATCCCCTCCTGACTAGTGCTACAGATATTTGTTACATAGATGGTTTTCTCACTTAAAATTGCTCCCTGGCAGACGATTAATCAAGACAAAAAGCAGTATTAGCTCTTAGTACCATCATGCTGGTCACCTCAATTTAAATACAGTTTCCTTTTCTTGAGGAACTGGTCTAAATTTCCACATGATTAAGAAATTTTAATGTTCTCTGGAAGATAGTAAACACACATTCAAAACATCACATTTTGTACCTGAAGACCAACGTAAAACACTGAACAAAACACATTTCAAATCTGTATGTGTATTTCTTCCACAAGCTATGATTCATCTCAAGTTGTAATACGTTTGGTACATGACATAAATGATACAGTAGGCACACAAAATAGATACAGCCATTGCTTGGCTTATTCTAGACAAGTGAGCAATGCAATGGATGTTTTGCACGAAAAATTTCCAAAGTGTAGCAAACAGCCTGTACTAAATATAATCTGCTCTCCTTTTACGCTTCTTGGCGAACAGGTTTCAACGTTATTTTGTGCTTTAAGACTGTAGCTGAAATCGGGGCACAGATGCATGTGGCAGGGATGAACACCAAATAGGAAACAGTCCCTCGGCAGGGGCCCTGGAATTCACTTTGCCATTGAGGTCACCAGACCAGTGTCCCTCAGTTCCATGGCACGTGATTTGGGACAGAATTCCTGCCCAGGTCCCTCTGTGATGCTCTGAGACAGCGAGATTCCACAGTGCAACTTTCCCATGAAGTAGCCAGTCACGCTTTCCCACTTAATCAAGGGGATGAGATGTTAAGAAGACCAGATGCCACTCCTACTTTCTCAGGACGGCCCCTCCAGTAATCCAGCTGTGGAACAGCGGTTTAAACCATCGGCTAAGACAATGGGCAGGAAAAAGAATGTTCTTATCATTCACTAGGCATTAACTTAAACTTGGCTAGCAGAGGAAACTGTTCATATGACTCAAAAGTTTTATAGTACGAGTCTTCCTATCACCAAAATCACTCTCGACTTTCTCCGGAACCCGCAAGCTCCCAACCACCCAGTCTGCAGACCTCAGGATCTTCTCTGAGTTCTTCTTTTCCTTTACCCGCTGCATCCAGTTGGAAGTTCTGGTCACTGACACTTACCACAAGACGAAACCACTGTCGGCTCCATTAATGACTTTAGGTGTCAGGGATTTCGACAGTCCTGGCCCAACAAGTTGGACTTGGTGTCAGGTCAGCCCCCGACTTTCTTCTCTGCTTCTCAAAACTAATCTCCCTTCTTAGTGAGACTAAACTGCCCCTCCGACTTCACCCCAAGTTCCTATGTTTCTTGCTTGGCCTAGGAATGTTTCCCTATCTTCGAAAAACATGTTTTGCTTTGGCCAGTCCTCCTTATTTTCGAAACACCACAGGTAATGCCGTGCATTGCTTTTTTCATCCATCCTGGTGACCATTGCATACTGACACACTGAGATTTTCCTGGCTCTTACTTTACGGCATATAATGAGAATTCCACACCGCGAGGAAACACTTAGTCTGCTATTCCATCATAATGGATATTTAGTTTTTTCCAATTATTCCTCAAAAAATAAATACCACAGTGAAGGAAGCTATGCCTGTATAATTCCCTACGTTTTCAGGTGTATCCACAGGCTGCCTTCCCAGAAGTAAGCCTGCTGGATTCCAGTGGAATTTGTGAGTTTGGTAAGTATGCCTGGGTTCCCTCAAAAGGGGTCCATTTCTCCAAGCCTCACCCACAAAACATGATGTCAAAATGTTTAAATTCTGTCCTATTTGGGGGGCAGGTGAGTGGCTTCTCAGTGTAATTGTACTCCTCTTTGTATTCTTCGTATTACAGCTCCATTAAACATCTTTTAAATATATTTAAGAGTGATTTAGTTTTATCCCGAATGCTCTACCATAAAGGTACCCAATGTTGTGACCTGTTCTAATATGGGGGGTTCACCTTGGTGAGGTCGTAGATGTAAAACACCTGTTTTATCTTACAAGGCGAGTTTAACCTTCTTCGACATCTCCCTCTTACACTCAAGTTCCGTCATTTATATCCTATAACTTCGTCCTGTTGTCATCTTCCTCTATATGCTGTTTTTACAAGCAAAAATGCACGCGCGTGGCTGTGGCTGTGACCGTGTTTCGCGTACTCTGTGACACGGGGGTCCCGCAGGTGTCAACACCAAGGATGCGAAGCTGCACGTTCCTGCCCCGAGTACCCCCGGGGCTCAGGTGCTCACCACCGCCAGCCCCAGCCGCACAGAGAAGGCACAGGTGCTGGGTGTTCGCAGGGTCCCTCCCTCCCTCTCCAACGCTGGGGCCTCATCTGGGGCACATCTATTATTTACCGATTTCTGATCTCAGCCTTGCTATTTCCTCTCCTTTCTTCTGTCATTGTTTTGTCTCCCACCCCTGACAATGTCTAGCAGTCTGCGAACCACACTTCCTAGGCGAGGGAGGCTCCCCCATGTATGTGTTCTGGGAATTTCCTCTGAGAACTGATGTGGAAGAGAACAAAACTTGGAGGTGCTGCTCTGAAAATGCAATGAGCTCAAGTACACAGACGTCTGGTGAAAGTGATAAAATGTACTGTGCGACCTTAGGAAAAAAGAAGCCATGGGCCTTGTCAGAAGAGGAATCTGAACCCCAGTATCCAAAGAGGTAAACAAACAGGAGAACCTGAGGTAAAGAGGCCCCTCCTCCCGTTTGTGTAAGCCAGGGAAGCAGACAAGGGACGCTGCAGAGCACGGGGGACACAGTGAGAGGATCACACCTCCTCGGAGCGGGCAGGCCGCCAGCCAAAGGCAGTCTTCAGGGTCCTTCGCCTTCGTGTGGTAAAAACCGCACAGGTCCTGCCTAGCGAGGGTTGAGGCTGGGTGGCGAGACCAGGCGCCTCAGACCACCTTTGTGGGGTTAGGTCTAAAATGGTCCCCGAAGCCTCGGCTTTGCAGAAGGCGATGGGACTGTGGGGCTCACGGCTGAGCTGCTGTTAGGAGGGGTCTGTGGAAGAGGTGGGGCATCCAGAAGGGCTCGTCTCCCCCCTCACTCTCTGCTTCTGGTCTCCCATAAGGTGAGCAGTGTTTCCTCCGCCAGGTCCTGTGCCCGGCAGTCCTGCCCCGGAGCCAGTGACTATGGACTGAGACATGAGCCCAAATAAACCTCTCCCCTCTGAGCTAGGTGTTCTGGGTCCTGCGTCCCAGTGAGGAGGAAAGTGACTCCCCCTTTGTAGTCCAGCTTTGGAGATGAGGTACCATCTGCCCTATCACAGGGGGTGGCCTCACCTCACGCCATCCCCCTGGGCAAGATTAGCAGCTTTCTAAATACTGCCAGAGACTGTGGCAGCTGCAGTTCTGGGTGATTTATTTATTTGGCACTGGGAACTGAACCCAGGGCCTTCTCATTGAGCAACATCCCCAGGGTCTTACTACGTTGCTCAGATTGGGCTTGAATTGCGATCCTCCTGCCTCAGTCTCCCAGAGTGCTGGGACTACAGGCCTGCACCACCACACCTGGCTCGTTTGTGTAACTTCAAACACAGCCTGACAATTTGGCTCCTCAACTGTGATTACCCTTAGAGTACATGTGGCCCTGGGAGTCGGGGAGGACACACACGTTGCTCACTTGAATCCATACTTGAATCCTTACATCGTATTTGTAGTGAACGTTGTGAATGGAAGTTGATAGTAGAAATAATTAAGATGTGATAAAAAAAATAGCCTTCACCCCTCTTTCCAAAATCTCAGTGAGACCCCAAATACTCACTTAAATGTACTGTGCCACAAATCTAGCACAGCCAGCATGGTGGGGCTCATCGCGTTCAGGTGATCCCTAGTGGAAGCGCTTGCAGCCAAGAACGACTTCCTCCAAGGCTTGGGCAAAACTTCCATTCTGGAAACAAAGAGGAATACTTAGCTATCACCATGAATGGGGCTCTAACGCAGTGGTAAGGTGATTGCGATACGTGTACTCCGTGGGTGCTCACGAGCTGATCTGAATGAAAACTACGGTGCATCCCCATGGGAATAACGAGACACGCAGTGTGTTTTAAAATGATCTCTATGGGTTAGTACGACTTCCTCAATAGTGATGATCAGATTGGTTTGAACTTTAACATAGTAACTAATTTTCGCCTCTGACCCTACTGAGTCTACCAGTAACGTACAGTAACCAAATGGGATCAGCAGCCAGCTTCCTTTCACACCAGAGGGTCTGTTGATTTCAGGATATGCAACATTTAGAATCTCTCCTTTTTCTGTAAGATAGGGAAACACCGTTGAACTTGGTCCTCCCTTAACATGTAAGGATCTCCTACAAGCCATAGTCGCTGTCTCCCGTCCTCACTTGGAGACGCACTTAGTCTGCAGCCCCCATGACGTGAGCAAACCACCGCAGAGCTGCCATCGTCACCGTCCTGAATACAGACCTCCCCCCATCTCAGGACAGCAGGGCCTTTGCGTTTTCAGCTTCCTCGTGGTGCAAAAGCAATGAACGTGAGGTGGGTAACCGGTAGCTGCTGGTGTGGGATCCTGCTCTTGCTCCAGGATGGAGACAGCTCCAGGGGCCGGGCCACGGCAGGGCATCTGACCCAGACACTAACCCACATGTCCATTCTATGGCTACAAGTTTTCTTCTCACGATCTTAAACACTTGATCTTATTTAATACACAGCAAGAGCAACTCGGTTTTTCGAGGCAGAGATGAACTGCCACCGACACAGTTACTATGAAGGGCGGCTTTTGTCTGTCACCAGGAGAAAAGCAAAGGTGTTCTCATAGAACATATACAGGAATGGCTGCCTGGACCTCGGGTTGTGTTTGGTGGTTGTTTTGTTGTGTGTTGTCACAGGGGAGATAGTTTGGAGCGCTGCTAAATGACATATTCAAAAACAAAGTAAAACTAAATTGGTTAATCATGTAAAAATAAGTTCCACTCTTTAACCTATGAGATTTATCTTTAAATGCTACTTATTTTTAGAGAAAATACACAGCTAGCGTATGTTCTCATTTTATGTTCGATATTTCAATCCACACAATAAACTGAAGCATATTTTGTAGGTACATATGTGCTCCAGGTCCTAATCTGGGTTTTGTGCAAACTGCCATCAAGCACTTATGCCCATTCCATATCTGAAGCTTGTGCCGCCTACCGTGGGGCAACAAAGAGCTGTATCAAGTTTTCCCACCAGAGTTTTTGTTGTTATTGTTGTTTTTTGAGACAGGGTCTCACTATGTAGTTGAGACTGACCTGGAATTCACTATGTAGCCCAGGCTGGTCTCAAACTCACAGAGATCCTCCTGCCTCAGCCTCCCGAGTCCACCAGATTCTTTTGTTTTAACAGCTAAGTGTCCATCTGTCCATGCGTCTATTTCTCTGTCCACTTATCCATCAGTCTGTAAACATAACATCTTAGGACTTAAGAACATAAATAAAGCTCACGAGAAGAGTCAGGCCCATGACATATGTACGCATGCTCAGCTAGACACTTTATGCATATGCTTAGATATAAATTATAAACACATATATAAAAATGTAGCCAGTGTGTAAAGATACAAGTGTATATAGAAATGATCACATAAAATGCATATTCATAAAGAAACCCAACCACTTACTCAGCACGATGGGGCGGAAGTTCACTTGTCTTTGTATCATCGTCTTTTTCTCTGGGGTCTTTTAAAACAAAATCGACTGAAAGAAAATTGCAAAGTTTGTATCGATACTACAACCTTTGTATGATTCATATAACCTTTATGTAATGTTTGTATACTACTGTAACTATTAATTATAGTGTATTTCCAAGCACTTACAAAACTAATCCTATTAAAATTGCTTAAATTTTGTTAGAGGTTTTCATTTTGAAATAATGAACTATTTGTGGGTTTACAAAGAAAATTTTAAAAATCTGTAAGAAAACCTATCTCGTCGGTATCTCAGAGTACACATTCCCTTAATGTGTCTTCTCCCGTTGGAAATTCTCCTTTATATTACATTCTCCTTTATTTCTTTCACCAAAAGTGTTGTTGAATTGCAGGTCAGAAAACGCTTCAGTGGGGTTTCAGTAGTTTTCTTTCTCTGTCTTTTTAAAAATCCCCTAAGAGTGAAAACAATCTTGCTGTGGACTGCAAACGAGGAAAGCAAGACACCTCCGCTGCTGTCTTTTGTGGTGTTCAATTCACAATCAGTTCTAGTTCTCCTGCACATCTTCAAGATGCTCTTTCTAAAGTGCAAGTATATTATTACATCCTTGCTTAAAATCCTCTAGAGACCGTCTTTTACTCTCAGATACTTGACAAAGGCCCTTCCCAAGAGTCCCCTTCCCTGAGAGCACCCACGTGTGGGCCAGCAGCTTCCTAGGCACGTCCTCCTCCCTCTGGGCTCTGCCCAGGACCTGGGAAGCCTCTCCGGACCAGCGGGGAGGGGAGACTCTTCACCATACAGTGTGCACTCCACTTCTCGCCTCCTCGCACATTCTGTTCTGCTGCAGGGTTAGGGATTACCTATCTTATCTCCCTCCTTACATGCTCTGGCTTTTTATTACCAAGACAATAAGAATCTTACATGCAGTGACCACTCTCTTCCTGAAGGGTCACCACATCACTCTGGGACCTTATGGTTTCTTTGACTTTGAATAAGGTATTCCTCATACCAGCTTTACTATCACAGACAATTGGAGAATGTTCTTAAAAGTACAGATTCCAAGTACGGGGATTTTAATTCGGATGGCATCAGAAATCAGTGTTTTAAAAATGATTCTTGCAGGGCGTGGTGATGTACACCTGTAATCCAGCACATAGGAGGCTGAGGCAGGAGGACCTCCAGAAATCTGAGGCCAGCCAGGGCTACATAGTGAGTTCAAAGCCAGTCTGAACTAAGTAGTGAGATCCTATCTCAATAAACAAGTAAAAACTGGATTTTTATGACTCAGTCAAACTTATCTCTATATCTTGGGCCAACAAAATTATTCTGTAAAGGGTCAGATTATAATGGTTTTCAACTTTGTGAGCACGAGGGCTCTCTTATAACTGCTCGACTCAACTCTGGTTTCGTAAGATCTTAAGTAATGTTGCAACACTGCAGGAAGAACACAATACAGGAAATAGTTGCAGTGTAAAGTATTAGTTTTCCACACACAAAGAATCATGATTCTAATGCGACACATCTTCCGATTCCTAAGCAAAGAGTAGCACCGATTTACCTATGGACTTCTTGACACTGAGCAGGTAATCCTCTCGCATCTCATCTGACAGCACAGTGACACTGTCTGTGAAGACTTTCAGGTGCTGTGGGACCAAATCCAGCACATGCTCCAGCCAAGAGTCCTCCATTGGGGCCACGTGGTCCGTATCAATGCCGTGGCGGATGTAATAGTAATGTTTCTGCAAGGAGGGGCGGGGAGGTGTGGGGGAGAAGAGTCCAAGCGCCTGAGCTAAGTGCCTGCAAATGCTAAAAAGTATTTTCTGCGATTCACATGAGCATTATTAGAGGTTTCATATTTTAAAAAATAAGTATTTCATAAAACCTAAAGCCCTTCTGTCAGTTCGTGAAGTTATATTATAAACAAGTTCTAGCGCCAAAGTCCACAATGAATTAGAGCTTAGTTTTATAAGTGTTAGAAAATGTTAGTTTTTATTCTTTGATCACGAATGATCAGAAGTAGAGTTTAAAAGCGAATTAATATCCCTATGTTAATTGCAGAAATGTTATGCAATGGAATGCGAACGATGTCTAATTGGCCTAGTAATATTCTACATAATTTTATAACTGCTATCACATTTGTTCACAAAAATTCATTTAAAACCTATTATAGCTCCAAAAATAGGTATTCAACTTCAATACATTTTCACAAGAATTTACACAGTGTTTTTAGAAAAAAATTAAACTTCAAAATACTTTCAAATTTGGAGCGCTAAAGTCTTTGGCAGGTGGCGTAGTGCTTCTCCCCTACGCTCCCAGCTACTCCAGAGCTGATGGGAAAGGGTCGGTCAAGTGTACCATGATGGCGAACCTTTTAGAGACGACTGCCCAACCTGCAAGCCAAACCCACTTATTTATCACAGCACCAACTCTGCAACTAAACCTAAAAAAGCCAACTCAATCTTATCATATTTTCTCTTAAGAGAAAAGCAAATAACCTATGTGCCACATTCCCAGAGCTGTCTAGGGGTCTGCGCCAACCTGGAGCCACACAGCTGGACCCCATCTCCAAGAAAATAAGTCTTGACACTGTGTAACTGAAATACTTGAAAATTTCTATTTCTAGAGGAATATACTCTGTAAGAGGTACATTAGACAATTAAAATAGTTTATCCTCAAGAATAAAGGCATGTAGAAGTGGTACACGATGCAGACTAACTTTGAGATGGAAAGTGGTAGATCTGAGTTTCTTTAATCATGGTCTCGGGTGGCAAAAATGAGAATTGTTTTTTCTAGTTAGTCCAGTGGAGGAATTTTATGGAACTCTGCATTTACTCCTACATCCACAGACTTCCAAAGGGAGGAGCACAGAATAATGTCTAAGACAAAAATGTCTCCGATTACTTCCATTATTTTCAACTCTACAGACAAAAGAAATAACTCGTTACCAAGATGTCCTTCTCTATCGCAGAGGTGGTCATCTTTGGAATCGCACTTTCTTCAGGGATAGCCGATTCTAAGCCAACATCCTGCTGCCTAAGAAAATGATAGACACAATGTTCAAAGTACATGAGGGGCAGTTGGATATAAACAGAACTGTTTCCTACTAACGTATGAGAAAACACAAATACTGAACATTTTGTAAATGGTGTGAACGTTTCTTAGTGCCGCATTCCTCCCAAATACCTTCTCTGCATTTGTAGGGAGGCAGTTACACTGCAAGCAACTTAAGAGACCCAGTTCAAGGCCACAGCACCTTGCTGCTCACCCACTGTCTTCATTACTACAAAGCCAAGCTCTGTCCTGCTTGACCATGCAAGGGTGCTGCGCTATTCCTAAAGAAAGTCTGGTCATTGTTAAGGATGGGTTTCAAAAGCAGCACTGATAGGGTTTTAATGCTCTCTGGAAGAAGACACAGAGAGGTCCCTCCAAAAGCCTTTTCTTAGATCTCTAGAGATGTACCAGTCAATGTACGACATGGAGACTTGTGTCCTCTGTCTCTCTAATGGACATGTGTTCATATAACACCGTATGTTTATACCAGAATTCAATTCAAAACCTATCATATAGGAGCCACATTTTGTGACTTTTTCTGGGACCCCACTCTGCAGGAAGACACAGTTCACATCTTCAGGGCAAAGGAAATTTTTCTGGAATAACTAACCTCTTCAGCGTTAGTGGGTCGTCCTTTAAATCCCAACTGCCTGGGATGGGTACAGGTCAGGAATGCTGTGTAAGAAATACTCCTTCCTACCAACTGGTGAGAGGGGAGAGGAGGTTTATTGGATACCTGTCCATGGTGCCACACTACAGTGGTACTCAGAGTGACTCTTCAAACTCATCTTCTGTAAATCCAGGAATCCAATATTTTGTGGAAATTACCCTTATTCTTTTAAATTATATGAACAACAACAACAAAAAAGTCACTGCTTGGGGAATGTTTCAGCTGAATCCAGTGCACAACAGGTATTCCGGAAGTGTTTGTCAACTGCAGGAATGTGAGTCAGAGAGGGTTGGTGGGAGATCTCCCAGGGACTCAGTAGTTGGCAAGAGAAGAGATGCTTATGTTACACTCAGGTGTGATCTCATGATGTCATTGATTGCACAGAAAAGAGGAATCAGAAACAGTAATGGATTTCAGGAATCAAGAAATAGGGTTCATCTTCCGCCACCGTCCTGGGCATGGCCTCAGTAACTGGGGGGTTAACTGGCAGATATCCTCATCTTACCACCCTTGCTGTCCAGAGAACAAAATGTTCTTCATCCTCTGGGAATTATGCCCACCTCGACAGACGCAGCCAGGCCCAGCAGGGAGAAGGGAGAACGCAGAGGTCCTCGGAACATATATGGACATTCTCACAGTGACAGCAAGGACCCTCTCAGCTCTATGACCGTGAGTATGTCATCCTAGGGCCATGGGCAAAGATTCCACTCAGCAGAAACAAATGACCAATCAAACAGATGATCATTTGACTTTGGTTTTGTATTCTCACAATGTGTTCAGTATCTCATTGGTTGCTTTTCATATGCCAAAGTATAGATTTATATCGAGTGAACTAATTTAATCAGTAATTTGGTAATTTCCCGTAAAGTTTATACCTTCACTAATGAATCTATCAAGGAAGAAATAATACAGATTCTATATAAACTTTTTTTTTTTTGGTATGGGGATCAAACTCAGGACCTTGTGCTTGTGAGGCAGGTGGTGGAATTACTGAGCTACATCCTGGCCCAGATTCTATACAAACTCTTTTAGAAAATACAAACCACGAGAACACATTCCCAACTATCTCAAGGCAGAGTTGTGACCCAATGTCAAACCCAAGAATACGACAAGTACAGGTGATATTCGTCATGAGCATAGGCTCAAATATTAGCCAATCGAATCCAGCAACGAACTGAAAGGCCTAGCTGATGACTGAGACAAGACAAAGGGATCTTCTCCAGGCAGAGAAAAAGCATTTGGTGAAAGTCCAGTAGTCGTTTGATAAACTCTCTCAACTACTGGGAAAGGAAGGAAACTTCCTTAACTAGAAGAGAGATCTTTTGTTTTTATTTAAATGCTTATTGTGTCCGTGTTCTAATTTTATTCATTTTAAAAATTTCATTTTTAAATTTAATGTAAATTGAGGGCCAGGGATTTAGCTTAGAAGTACCACACCTGCCTGGTAAGTGCAAGGTCCTCAGTTTGATTCCTGGTACCAAAAAAATAATTTAATGTAAATTGAAAAGTTATATTTTATTTTTTTGTTTGTTGTTTTTTGGTAGCAGGAATCAAACTCAGCAACTTGTGTTTTTGAGGCAGGCAGCGGAACCACTGAGCTAAATCCCCTGCCCCCCCGTTACAGTTTTATACATTTGGAGGTAAAAAGCAATTATTACCACTTAACAAGTACAATAAGTGAAATAATTACATAAGGCAAAAGAACATAAATTTATTTAAGGTAATGAGAACATTTGAAATATACCTTACTGATTCTGAAACATACATTTTCCTGACCATACTTAGCAGGCTATGCAAAGACTCTCAGAGAAATACAAAGTGTTCCCCCTGTCCGACTGATGTACCCAGTCACTCTGCCCCCACCTTTGGCGACCACTCTTCCTTGCCCTCGCCACCGAGTCCAGTTCTTTTGAATCTGACACATAAGAGCATGTGGCATTTGTACTCCTATGCCTGGCTCGTTTTGCTTAACACAATTTTCCTCAACTTCATCCATGCTGTGAGTGACAATGTCCCTACCTGTTAATGCGGAATAGTGTTGTTCCACTGCTTACACATAGGCTCTGCATTTTCTGTTGAAGGGAGCTTAGGGTGACTGACTCCCTAACTATTCTGAACAATAAACATGGGAGTGCTCATCTCTCTCTGAAAAAGAGATTTAATTGAACTTCACAGATTGGGTATTTTGAGTATTACAAATCCTGCACTTTAAAGATATTTATTTCTAAGTATTTTCCTTTTTTTATTTTACTATGAATAGAATTATATAATCTCATTTTCTAAATGTTCTCTGCCATTATATAGAAAATCCATGGACCGGGGATTTAGCTCAGTGGTTCAACTGCCTGACTTGTAAGCACAAGGACCCAAGTTTGAGCCACAGTGACCAAAAAAAAAAAAAGAAAAGAAAAGAAAAACCAATAGATTTTTGCTTATTGATCTCACATCCCAAGACTGCAAACTTACTATGATTGCCTAAGCAGTGTGGAGAGAATTGAGATGGGTGTGTGGATGGTCTAAGTTCTGCAGTCTGAGACTGAATTGTGGTGAGCATTGTGAGACTACAGAAGTTAACTATAACCCATGATATTTTATACTTAGCATAGTGTTAATGTAATAGCTTGTAAAACTCTCAGATAAAGCTGTCTTTTAAAAAAGCCCATTCACCATGCCTGAAAATAAAATGTTCTGATATATATATATATATATATATATATATATATAGAGAGAGAGAGAGAGAGAGAGATTTAGCTATTTGAAAGGGGCCAAAAATAATTACATAAGGCAAAATAACATCAATTTATGTATTGCAATGAGACCATTTGAAATACACTCTGATTCTGAAACATACATTTTCCTGATCATAGTAGCAAGAGACGGAGGGAGTGAATAGTTTGGGGAGGGTAAGGGGATGAAAATAAGAATTAAGATGTGTTACGCACATGTACCAACTCACAAGGAATGTAAACATTATGCCTTACCAAAGTGTACTAGTAAAAGTGAAAACTAAAATAAATAAATAAAAAGTGAGAGTGAAAGAGACCAAAACATCTTTACAAATGAGGCAAGGTGATATAGCTTCTCATCCATAAGAACACACGACAGAAGATGTGATCCACTCTCTTCCAGATGTGCAGGGGAATGACCATTACACATCAGCTTAACCACTGATTCAGGCCAGGATGAAACTGAGCCTTTTACAGATATGAAAGTCCTTAGCTCCCTGCACACTGATTCTCACTGAAAGAACTCCTAAGTAGTGAGTTTCAACCAGAAAGACAATGAAACCACAAGTGCAGAGTGGAATGCAAGTCATCTTCTAAGAAATTAGATGACCTGTTAGTAAATCTAAGTATGTGTTAACTTAGAAAGAACCGGCATATTCAAAGTCTTAGCAGAATTAAATCATTTTTTTTTAAAAAAATCACATGAAAAACGCAAAATAAGTCAGAGCTAAATTAAAACATTTTAACATCTGCGGTTCAGGAAGAAGGCAGATAAAATAAATTATACACTTTAAAATTTAAATTTGTAGTTTTAAAGATTAGGATAGTCTTTAAAAAACAAATACATTTCATCATTTTTAAGTCAATGGCAGTAAAGAGAAAATTCAAGTCAATGAAAGCAGAAAAAAGATTTGAAAAAGGCAATTTATGGCAAGTAGATCACATGAAATATATTGGTAGAAGTCTACATATATAAGAAATATGGAAAAGCTGTTTACAGCTGAGGTTCAGGTTGGTGGTAGGGCACTTGCCTGGCACCAATGAGAGCCCTGAGTTCCATCATAATGCTGCACAAAGATAGGCAGAAGACAGACAGATGGACAGACAGACAGACAGACAGGATTAAATAAACTACTAAAGTACAGAAATACTAAGACTCAACTTCAACAAGCCTGTCTCCACCCCATTTATACAAGGCACACCCAACATGTGACATAATGGTTGAACAGACTTCTCTGTTTCTTACAACAGAGTGCAAAGATAATCAGGCAAACCTCCCATTTCTACCATGCAGGCCGTGCCCTTCCGTCTGCTCGCCTCCACCAGCCGGTCCACTCCAGGCACCTAAACTCATTCACTTCCTCAGGCGCCAGCCAACCTTCCCCTTCTCACCTGTCTGCACTCGATAATGGTGACCATCTTTATGCACAGTGAATTTTACAGCCAAACCACGGGGTAGGGGGGACACTTCATCTGTCTTGACCTGGAGTTCCAGAAGGTCGAAAGAAACACTCTTCTAAGAAGTGATAGCCAGTCTTACCCTCCCATTGATTTCTGTGTGGATTTCTCAATAGCAGGCATGACCCAAGGTACCTAAGCTAAGGAAGCAGTACAGGTGGGTGCCACTCTGGTGGCACTTGGCAATAGGGAACTCAAAGCCACTCTGGAGGCGGCGGCCACCGTCAGTTCAGCTGCACAGGACCCAACAAGTGCCCTCCCATCCTCTGGTAAGCACTCAGCCATCAGCCAGTTCAGTGCCTCACAGGTTGAGGAGACAAGAGTTCTGGGGTGACTTGCACACCACAGTGGGACTCGAGATCCCACGGGCTGCTGGCACTATCATGAAAGAAGAGATTGCACTAAATGGTTTCCACAAAGCTATGTGGAAATAAGACAAAGACCATTTTGAGTCTTCCTCCTTCTCCATACAAAGCCGAAATGTACAGCCCCCCTTCCCTGTCCACGCTAACGGTCCTACAGTGCCAGGGAAGCACCTCCCAAATCTCCAGAGCCAGCGAGAGGGGGAAAGCAACTAGCCAAACCTTCCACCAGCCATGAGGCCATCGCCAGCATGCGCAGGAACTGTGGGCGCTCAGCCACCACCACGGGCTCACATCACCACCTTTACAATGCCTGGTATTTCAGGGTGGGGAACGCCTGCCCGGTTAGACTCAACCTCTCTCATTCTTTGTACAGCGACATTGCAGTGAGGCTTCCAGGAATCCTTAGAGATGCAGAGGATTCTTAAAGTTTTCGATAAAATTTCTTGGGGGCTCTAACGAGGGTACACTTTGGCCAGGGCACAGAACTTACAGGATGACATTAACAAGAGCACTTCTAAAGTTCTCTCGTTCCTTGTGGGGAGACTTGGCCTTCGACTTGGAGGTGGGGGGTCCAGCATCATCAACTTGGTGGAGGACTTTGCCTTTTTTTCCAAAGTGTTCCAGGTATTCAGCTTGAATTAAAAAAAGAAAAATACATTGTTCCCCTTAAAACCCAGCTAAAATATTTAAGGGCCTAGAATAAAACACCATTAGAAAATAAAATCTGCTTTAAGTCCTCAAGGAAGCCTAAGCATAAGTTATTTTCTTTTATTCTCAGAAAGTTAAACTACTATGATCTTATCACAGCAGAAACCTTTAATTCAAGAATACTCAATTGATTTAATATATATTTTGATGAATATAATGCATTTTTCAATTATATTTACATTGAACCTGTTAAAATGAGCAAGATAAAAAACTATGATAAAACAGAACTATTCAAAAATATTTAGAGTAATGAAAAAAGATTAATATTAAATGTAATCAATCTGATAAGCATTGTATTCTGAGTCAAAGTAATAAAACACTGAATGACTGATTTGAAAGTAATATTTACACCTAAATAAATCCTTCCTAGAAACAAACTTCTCAGCCTTCAACAGAGGTGAATTCTGACTACAATAAGTTTTATGATAAATACCCCAATTCCTAAAATATCAGTTCTTACAGCATTTATGGTGGCCTGAAGTAAACGGGAGCTGAGATCAATTATTTTCCTAGATGTAAAACATTTGCGAGAAACTTTTCTACTTGACATAAATGTCACTTACGTTTTATATTTTTATGAGTCTATTAACTAAATGTCACAGGGTTTTTTCCTGTAGAACATTTCCTTAAATCTAGTATGGAAATGAATGTTCTTACCGTAGGACTGCTCGTTTTTAACAGCGAAAGGCTCCACAATCTCGTCCTCCTTCCTTGCGCTCAGGTGGAAGGACGGGGCCGCCTGCTGCCACTGCGGCTTGGTGCTCACCTGAATAGGGATGGAACCATCAGCGGGCAACGCAGAGAACCCGAAGGACCCTGGCCGGCTGGCCCAGGCGTGGTGTTTGGGAGCCGAGGCCTAAAGCGGGCTCTGTGAGGTGTGGCGCTGCCCCCTAACACAGGGCTAGTACCCATCTCTAGAGTTTGACAGATGTCTTTCAGCCTTCTTTTTTTACATTTAATTTTTAACTGAAGCGTAAAAGTGTAACTGTGCACATCAATGGGACACCCCCGGTAATGCTTATACCAGGAATATCGCATCTCGCTCCTCAGACAGTTCATCCTCTTTACGGCACAAACTTCCAAAGTCCTTTCCTCCAGGTTTTTACAGGTTGCTGTTTATCATCCTGCTGTGTGTGCAGCGTGCACACCAGAACTCCTGCTCCTAAGTACATTTTAGGACCTGCGGATGGACCTTCCCCGACCACACCACACCCTCGGGAATGTCTCCCGTTTCATGTCCGATTTTGAGTCGTCTCTCCCTTTGTTCTACTGTTTTGACCGTTTTTGGTACCGGGGATTGAGCTCGGGACCTTGCACTTGCGAAGCAGGCAGCAGAACCCCTGAGCTAAATCCCCAGCCCTTTTGACTACCTTTTTCGAAGAGCCAATTCTATTTTGTGGATTTTTTAATTGCTTTTCAGTCTCCATTTCATTTATTATTCTTCTCTGCTCATTATTACTTTTTCTTTACTATTAAATTGGGGTTTGTTCTTATTTTTGAAGTTCCTTTAGATGCAAAAACAGTTCATTTGGAGGGTTTGTTATTTTTTAATTTGAAACTTTTCTACTTTTTGCTGCAGGCTGCGATTGCATAAACTTGCCTGTTCATACTGCTTTTTCTATATGCCACAGGTTTTGGTATGTTGTATTTTCAATTTCAGTTGTTTCAAGAAATTTTAAATTTTTTTCTTGATTTCTTCTTTCACCCACTAGTTGTTTCATTTCCATTTCAAGTTGTACAGTTTCCAGAGCTTTTCTTATTATTAATTTCTACTTTTGTTGTGTTGTGATCAGGAAAAAATGCTCTACATGATTTTTTGAAACTTTTCTTTTGTGGCCCATCATATGTTTTATCATGGACAATGTTTCATGCACTGATTAAAAAAAAGTGTATTCAGCAGCTAATGAGTGTATTCAGCAGCTAACGTTATATAGAGGTCTGTCAGGTCCATTTGGTCTCGAGTGCAGTATAACTGTTGTTTCTTTGTTGATTTGCTGTCTGAATATAAGTAGGGTATTAAAGACCCTAACTATTATTATGTTGTAAGACCAAGAACCTTACCAACCACTCCAAGGAGCTCAACAGCCACGAGAAACACTGGGAAGGAGCACACCGGGCAAGTTGGAAAATGAAACAGACCTTCATGAGTCTGGCCAGATGGCACTCCCAGAGCCAAGTAGCTCAGAGAGGCGCTAGCTCAGGGCCTGAGGTCTTCTTATAAGGGGATACAGGGGGAGTTAACCTTTGCCACCTGACTGCAAGTTTTGACTGTTAAGGTCTGCCGATTTGCACCGGTGGCCCCGTCACGTATTCAGCAGCCACACGTTGATGGATAACAGATGCCTACAGGGTGTTCTAAGATCATAAAAGCATTTCAGGTTGAAGCCGTTTTCCCTGTTGAAGATAAGGGGAGGGTGAAACAAGAGTCTCTGGGCCGTTATCCAGCCAACAAGGACTCACTTTAGCTCAGTCAGGTCTCACATTCCCCACTGATTTTAGTTAGAATCAAATCCTTGATTCATCATTTTACTTAAATTTTTAGCTAAGGGGTCATAGCAACTTGCAAAGGTATCTTGTTAGACGGATAAGTTGGGGATTAGGATCCCCAGAGCACATAAAGATCACATTTTTTTATCCTCTGTAGGCTTCTAAACTTAAAAGCATACTAACTCATAACAGTTTGACACAATGAGTCCATATCTTGACTGCAGTTCTCATTCTTCAGCCGTGTGTGGACTCATCAGCTTCTGGTGTGGTGAGAGCAGGGATTGAGTGTGTTGTTGCCTGGAGTCGAAATCCGTGGAATTCTGTTTCACTCTAAAGTGGTGGTAGCTGAGCTTCAGCTACCTTGACAGCTGTGGGAGTAACCAGAAGTGCCTCATATGTCCCTTCCCATAGAAGTTGTAAAGGAGTCTTTTTCCTATTTTAAAAGAAACTGTCCCCAGTTTAAAATCTTGTGTATCTCTGAAGCCCTGTTTTTATAGGGAAGAAAAGTACAAAGCCATACTAACACACATGTATAACCTCTACAGGGGTGGGTGTAACCATCGAAAGGTGCTGTTTAGTTGTCCCTCTGGCTTCTGTGTCTGCCTTAGCATTGCCTTTTGCTATTGCATCTTCTCTTTCTTGAATTATTATAGGTACTTTGTCAGATTTCCACATTGCCTCAAATAACTATATTGTATCCTATTTTTAATAAGTTTGCCCTCTACTGTGAGAAGACCACACTTTAATAGTGTGCCATAGATATAGCAGGTGGAAAACAGGAATCTGTATAAACATTTACCCTCTTTTCTTTTGCCCATCGGAGAGCCTGTATGAGTGCCCATAGCTCTGCTCACTGAGCTGACCATCCAGTGGGGAGGGGTCCTGCTTGGACCACTTCATCTTGAGTCATCTCAGCGTAGCCAGCATAGCATACCCTATTTTCCACGAAGCTGCTCCCATCCTTGAACAGGATGAAATTAGCCTCAGGCAGACCTGGATGATTGGAGAACAATTCGTCAGTGACCCTGAGGCAGTCGTGGTCAGGGCGGCCAGGTTCCAAGGGCAAAAAGTTGCAGGGTTTAAGGTTTTAACTGGAACAAAATATAGGCGGGGATTCTCACAGACGAGGGCCTGATATTTTGTGACTCTATTATTTGAGAGCCATCAATGTCCTGTTATAGTTCTAAAAGGCATGGGGAAACCAAGCAATCTATTTTTCCTAATGTTACCTGGTCAGCTTCCTTAATTAGCATAACTGCAGCTGCCAGGGCTCATAAACAAGGGAGCTAAACCTTCACAGCTGGATCCAAACTCTAAGATAAATATGTCATTGGCTGATCCCATGGGCCTACTCCTTGAGTGAGCACCCCTAAAGCAGTATGATTTGTTTCAGTCACGTACAAAGCAAAAGGCTCGGTCACATTTAGGATCCCTGATACAGGGGGTAGCAGAAAGTTAGTTTTAGCTGTTTAAAACGCTGACTCTTGCTCTTTACCCTATAATAATTACTGTCCTAGGCCCTTTAAAGATTCGTATAGAGGTTTGGCTGTGTCTGCAAACCCTAGAATCCAGATCCTGCAAAAACTTGTTATCCCCCAAATTCTCCCATCTGCTTTGAAGTCCTTTTATCTCCCAAACAGCATATTTATTAACCTTGAGTTTTTTTCCCCATAAAGTACAGAAAAGAGCAAGTTAAACCTATAATCGCAATTCAAGAATTTGCAATGCACAAGCGTTTTAAGCACACCAATTAAACTGAATTCAAGTTGAAACATATTTATCAAATAGTTAAAATTTCTAACTTGATTTTTCTTGTAAATATCTTGAGTCTGGTAAAACATAGATGCAGTTTCTCTGGCTTGCAGTGGTTTTTTTTTTTCTCTCTCTCTCTCTCTATTGTCTGTTTTTCAGAGCTTTCGTACCTGTTTTCAATCCATCAAAGACTCATTTTCTCATTTTAGTTCTTTCTAATCTGAGTGCAAGCCCTGTTCCATTTTTTCTGAGTCGACCATACTTTCCCATCTGCACCCTCCAGTGCAGTAAAGTTAGACAATTGTTTCGCCCCCACCTCCTCCATACCTTCGATCTTAGCCACTCAAGTGAAGCGGTAGGCAGCTCCACCTCCTCCAAAGGGGAAACACTGGGATTTGCCTGCAACGATGTCACATTTTCTGAGAAGGGCAAGTTCACCATGGGAAAAACAGCAGATGGCAAGCAGTTGTTCTAAAATAGTTCTCACTAACAACTGATTACCGGGGAGCAGAAGCTTGAGCAGCTCCTAGAGCACACAAGGCTCCAAGTTATCAAAGTCTCACGTAAAAACAAAGGCAGGTAACTTTTCTTTTGTCTAGAGTTTTTTTTCCCCCCTGGGGGCCAAGTCTGGCTTAGCTGAGGCCAGGACAACTCACAAAGTTTAAGCATCTTTGATTGTAGTTTTATCCCACAGTCCCCCACAAAACTATTAAAATTCTGAATCATGCACTTAAGAACAGTTGGTTTAGTATTAGCATTTTCCATGACCATTAGATATTCCTTTGTCAGGTGACACAAGACAAAGGGTGGGGTGCCGTTCCAGTAACGGCCTCGTTCATTCGTTAGCCTGGCTCTGAGCTTCCCAGCTTTCAGGCCTGCTCGGACAAAAGGAGAGTTTCTCGTTGTTAAGAGTCCCCATTTTGTCCACAGACTCGCAGGACTGACCCACACAAGCTCCGCAACGCCAGGAGGGCTCTTTAAGTGCAAGCGCCCCCTCCCTTTGTTTTGGTGCACAGACGAGGCTACCAATGGCCTTCGTAGCTCGTTCCACCAAATCTCTTTCATACGCACAATCACACAAGAGGTTAATACATCCCCTCCCTGGGGCCCCTTACAAAGTACAGTATACAGCACAACACCAAAGTGAGGGCAATCGAAACCCTCACAAATGGCAAAAAGCGTAGGATGGTTAGGCCTGCACTCTATTTTGCCCAAATTGAGGATGTAAATGCTCACCAATAGCAGAGAAGGGAGGGTAACCAGGCCTCCAATCTGTAATCTGCCCAAATGTTCAATTAAGACAAAAGTAGAACAAATGCAAAGCAAACTAGGGGTTGCCCAGGGAATCACACCACTCAGACAGATGGTTCCATTCATACGCCTTCCTTCTGCTATCTCCTGTTTGGGGTTTGAGCAATCCACTACCGGATAAGCTGGCCTCCGAGTCCTAAAAAGGGAACCCAGGAAAGCCCAGCCAGGTACACCTCTTCCCTTCTGAGGAGGTGGGCAGCTGCTCCTTCCGGCGGG